CACGTTACCGCCGGACCCATCAGTACCAGCGATCACCTGCCAGTCGTCGTGACGCTCTCATCCAATCCCATTATGATCCCCGCCAACATCAGGTGAAACCTCAAACGGGCAGACTGGGACTCCTTCAAGGAGTCTCTCAGTCTCAAGCAGGGGAGAAACCTGGAAGAAGCCAGCCCCAATGACATCGACGACGCGGTCGAACAATGGTATAAGGATGTGAAGACGGAGATGGACAACAATATCCCGACCACCAGTTACAGGACCATTCCCCATCCTCACACTAGTCACCAGCTGAGGCAGCTCAGTGTCCAGTACGCTCACGTGAGACAGCTAGCCAGTATCCGCGGGTGGACGCAGGAGCTGAGAGACCGGTACCGAGAGCTACAGACGGACATCCAGCACGAGAGCCCACAAAAGTGGGCCGCCTTGGTGTGGAAGGCAGCCAACAATTACCGCGATTCTGCTACCTTCTGGAAAGGGATCAAGCGACTGATGGGTTCCACCTCTAGCACGGTCCCTTACCTGCTCGACCAAAACAACGTAAAAATATTCGAGGAAGAAAACCAAGAACAACTACATCGGCGATATTTACGAAAGATCTTTACCATTAGTGAACAGGAGAACGAGGGCTTCGACAGGGAGTTTGAGGAGGACATTTTAGCTCAGTTGCAGGACCATCAGCACCTGCTCCAGCCGCTCCCACGGGCTGACTTCACCAGACTGGTTGATGGAAGCTACCTGACGGAGCGCATAGCTCCTGCAGATGTGTCAGCCGTCATAAAAGGGTTTAAAAACAAATCGCCTGGTCAAAGTCACATTAACAAGAAGATCCTGGCTCAACTCCCCGACAACATGATAGAGAGGCTTGCTCATATATGCAACGCCTGTCTCGCCTCTGGATACTTCCATAAGATGTTCAAAATTGCTGTTATTCGCCTCATACCAAAAGCAGGGAAGCCTCCAAACAAAGTCGAAAACTTTCGACCAATATCACTGCTAGAGGTACCTGCCAAAATCTTCGAAAAAATAGTCAACAAGCGATTGCAGATGTATCTGGAGGACGAAGACGTGCATAATCCCCTCCAGGTCGGCTTCCGCCAGTACAAAGGCACATCCACAGCCATAGCTCAGGCCTACGAGCAGATCGCCAATGCCATGACTGGCCGCCTGCAGTGCAATATAGTACTGAGGGACGTCAGCAAAGCGTTTGACAAAGTTTGGCAAGCAGGACTACAGTATAAGATCATACAACCGGGGCTACCCGAAAATTTGACGCGCCTGCTGTGTAACTTCATTATGGACCGCAGAGCCAAAATCAAGATGCAAGAACATTTTGGAGAAGAATTCTCACTATCGAGCGGCGTGCCTCAGGGCTCTTGTCTCTCACCAACCCTTTACACACTCTACACGGCTGACCTGCCACCCCCAATCGTCGGCAGCGAGTACATCACGTATGCCGACGATATAACACAGATCTTCACCTGCCCAGGAAGGTCCACAGCAAGGATGGCGCGACTCACTGCTCGGGCAATAGAGGAGATCTCGGAGTATGAAAATAAATGGAAAATAAAAACAAACAAAACGAAATTTGAGGTCATACCCATAGCCAAATTCAAACCGGCCCCATTGATGATCGACGACGAAGAGATTGAGTACTCTAAACAAGGCAGGTTGCTCGGCCTCATCATTTCTAGGACGGGCATCATTCCCCACGTGAAGGACAGACTAAATAAAGCCAAAGTCGCCACAGCCAAATTAAAACATTTTAAATTGATGCCTGAGAAGATACAAGTTCACCTGTACAAGGCGCTGGTGAGGCCTGTGTTGGAGTACCCATCTATACCACTCGTCACACTCGGGAAGACTAGACTACAACAACTACAGAGCTTCCAAAACAAGTGTTTGAGGTCAGCCAGTGGCCAAGCGCCACCCTACCAGGAGACAGTGGAAACCATCCACCAAAGAAATAAAACAGAGGCCCTCAACTTCAGGTTCCATCGCCTAGGGAAGAAGGTTTGGGACAAGCTCCTGGACGACCCTCACAGCCCAGACCACCTACGCGGGGAAGACATCAACGGAGGGAGACCCCACGCCTGGTGGCCCCGGAGTCTGCCCACACTACAACAACCCAACCCGCGATCCATCTATGTCCGCCACAGTGATCCACCTTAGATTAAAACTTAGATGATATAAATTCACATCTAACAAGTCACAATCAAGTGAGTCCATAACGTAATACAGTATAAGATGTTAATAAACTTGTAATTGTAAAATCAATCTAGTCATTGTCTACTAAAATAACCATTGTGCAACCTCATTCTAAATCCTAGGTTAGCTTAGTTAGCCAACAAACTCTGTAATATGTAAAACAAGGTGTGTCGTCCCCCTCTGTTTAACTCATTAAACTTCTTTTCCAACCTTTCCCCCCACGACTATATGTTGTGACTTCTCCATCCCTCATGTCTGGCTGTGCCTTGAGCCCCAGCATGCCTTCCACCCTTTCCCCACCTTAACCTAAAAAAAAAAAAAAAAGAAAAAAGTCAGTCAGTCAGTCTTGCTTTAACCACGCTTGTGTTGACATCAGCATTGTAGTTGCAAAAATATTACATTTCCGTGAATGCATTATATCAAGCACAGTATGAATAGAATATCACTAATATAAGAGTATATTAACCGAAAACTATTAAATAACGAGTAACATATCTTGAACATCGGAAGGTTAAGTAAACTCTTTTGTTTTCATGTAGTTTATCCTAATTTACATTGAAATACATTACGTTTCAGCAAAACTATTATTTATTTCTGAGAATGTGGAAATGTAATATTTTTGCTGAAATGACGTACGTATTACAGTGGAAAGTGACGAAAGTAATGACTTTCGCTTTCCTTCGTTCAAAAGATGTTACCGTAATCACTTTTCAAATGGTTTTCAGTTAAAAAAACTGTTATTACAATAATATTCTATCCTAATTCACTTGTGATGCAACAGTTTTTCAACTGAAAACCATTCGAAAAGCGATTATGGTAACATCTTTTGAACGAAAGAAAGCGAAAGTCATTGTTTTCGTCACGATTTTATCCCACTTTCCACTATAATACGTACGTCATTTCAGCAAAAATATTACATTTCCGTGAATGTATTATATCAAGCACAGTATGAATAGAATATCATTGTAATTTAACAGTATTTTAACCGAAAACTATAAAAAAACGAGCAACATCTCTTGAACATCGGAAGGTTAGGTAAAGTCTTTTGTTTTCGTCATGTATTTTATCCTATTTTACATTGAAATACATCACGTTTCAGCAAAACTACTATTTATTTCTGAGAATATACTCATTCAGGAGCAGTTTAGGTAAAATATACATGTGATGTAACAGTTTATTAACTGAAACCGATTCGAAAAACACGTACCCTCTAGCCCTGTTCAAGGAGAAGACTGGGAGGAGCTGTTTGGTGCTGAAGACGGTGACAAGGAAAATGATTTTGATGGATTTTAATGAAAATATTCAGAAATATGGTGTCGTAGTATTTATTCAAGTGAATTAGGATAGAATATTATTGTAATACAAGTTTTTTAACTGAAAACCATTCGAAAAGCGATTACGGTAAAATCTTTTGAACAACGAAAGAAAGCGAAAGTCACTGTTTTCGTCAACTTCCTGACCTCTCGTATGTCTATGGGAAAGGGTCGCGGAAAAGGGACGTGATTGCTATCCGTATCATCATTGGGTATGACTTTGTTTGGGAGATTGGTATCCCCGCATCCCCTGAGCAACGCTCTTGTGCACTATGCTTAAGACCCGACAGCCGCACCCTTATCCACTACCTCCTAAGATGTCCCCACACACAACGCTTCCGTGACGCCTGCTGGACCACCACTCCACGACCCCCTGACGGAGACACGATGATCCTCCCCATACTGGCCAGATACTATGTAAATAACATTGATTATGTGTTAAAGGAATATCCTTCCTTCCTTAGGCTTTAGTAAGCCCCTTTATAATATTTATACTGTATATACTTGTCACACTTGCCAGATGCTTCTGGTGTTATTGTACAGGGGTATCCAGTGACAGCACTAGGATCCCGCTTCCTCTATCAAGGAATAAACAATTGAAATTGAATTGTTTTCGTCATGATTTTATCCCACTTTCCACTGTAATACGTACATCATTTCAGCAAAAATATTACATTTTCATATATATTTCTGAGAATATATTCATTCAGTCTCGTAGTTTTCTTTTGTTTCATATTTAATTAACAAAGATTGATGTTTCAAATGTAATGAACAAAATTTATGTATCTATAAATAAACTTTAAAAAATGAATACTTTATGTTTTACATGGTCCTGTGCTACCATACCATGCATTTGGCTACTTTGGGCTTGCTATGATGATGCAGGAGATCTGCCCTGGCAACTGTACCGACAGTCACAGCTGGTGGTACGTCGTTTCCATTGTTTACTGGTAGTTACTGATAAATATTTTTCAACCTAATGAAACTATTACCCGTTTAGAGGTCGACCCCCAATTTTTTGCCGAAAAATTTGGTCTTAAAAACTCGAACTACACACAGTTATATACGGTAAATAAGGACATGTGGGGGGGCCAGGAGTGTATTTAGGGGCAGCAAAAATACGCGGATTCTTAACATTCACGGGTATCTCTGTTACCTAACCCCCGCGTATGTTAAGGGCCGACTGTATACATATTAGATTATCTTGCTTTTTGCTGTATCTTTTAGTTTTTTCATAAATGTTTAAAATTAGGAAGATTATTTCTTGGTATATGAACAGATATTTGGTTAAAGAATAACATTGAACATAGAACATTTTATTTCCTCTATACAGCAAAATGAAATTCATACACTACTAAATAAGAGGGAAAAATATTACATTTGTATCAATGAAAGTACAGTATTAAGCATATTTTCTGGTATAAAAAGCAGTTAATTTTGTTCCATGAAATTATACAGGTCTGTGTCCGTGAAGAATCATTACAGCACACCCAGCGAGCTCTTCAACTCCTTAATATAATCACCTGTCATCTTGGTATATTTTCTGAAAATCATATACATTGTATTAGGGTTCTTAAGCAAAAGAAAAACATGTGTAATAAATAAAATGGAAGGAAGGAATGACAGGATGGAGATCGATAAGATGGTCATTAAGGAATAAATAAAATTCAATACAAATACTGTTTACTGTAGGTTAGAAAATGTGATACACATGGCTTCATGTTATCCTTAACTAACATTTTGTTATTCATGAACACTTTAATGGCTTAACTTATTTCATTCTCTCAAGTTCTTTTACTAGATATAAAAATGAGTTATTAAATTTAAGTCTAGAACTCATTCAGGTTCACATAGCCACTGTTGTTTAATGCAGTATAAAATTCCAAAGTAAAATTCATTGCCAACTTTTTTCTTGTCAGGCATGATTAAAAATAATTTTCCCTTTTTGAATAATATATTTTTCATCAACCTGATCTTGCCCAAGGTTTAAATTATAGCTGTTATCAGTTGTAAATTTTCAAGTACAGTACAGTACAGTAAGTCCTTGCTTAACGTCAGGGTTGCATTCCTAAAAATACGACGTTATATGAAACGACGTTAAGTGGATCAATTTTCCCCATAAGAAATAGATAAAATACGGGAGTTACGTTCCTGAGCCTCCCTTTGCTCCATGAAATACATTATATACAGAAAATCATTGCCATTTCTATAGAAAATAGAATATAGATATATAATATTAAGTTTGTATTCGTACCCACCAATGAGTGGATGTGGTGGGTAGTGAAGCAGAGGAGGGCGAGAGCGGAGGCAGGCGGGAGAGGAGGAGGGTGGCGAGTCACTGAGACTCTGCGGCTCCCTCCTGTAATGGCCCGTCTAATCAACAGAACGTATTATATAAATGGGTTATTTTCATCTGATTTATATTCAGATTTATCCCCTGTACTTTTCCACTATATGTGAGGACATGAACTGATCACGTGAACGGTAACTTTCCCAAGAGGGAGAAGCCCATATGTCAGCATCGATGTAAGCGTGCACCAAAGCGACGCCCTTAGTTAGTCACTCACACCAACTTTTATTGAACGGACGTTGTTCCACGTTTATATACATAAACGCCGCCTGTTTCTCATTACACTCATAAGTAGTGGAACTTGCGGTTGATCTACACTCAGGAATTATATAAACATAATACTTTTTAAGAAAACAAGAAACTTCAATTGGGTTTCGTTACTAAAAGCCCAATATATATTATGTGTACTAACCTGGTTAACTGGGGAATTAACCAGCGGAACACACCTCCTGCGCTGACTGGGGTTCCTCCACCGCTGGTTGCTCCTCCTCCGTTGACGTTTCCTCCTCCTTAGTTGAAGTTTGATCCTTCTCGGCTTCCAGCTGTTGTGAAGAAGCTGCTTCTGCCGTCCTGCGATGAACAAATGAATCAAGTGTTGACCGCTTGGTGCTACTCTTCTTCTCCTTATACATCTCAGTGTAACAACCAAGAATGTCCTCAATACTGCTTTCAACCTTTAATGTACGTTCTCTGTTTGGGTCATCATCTATAAGGATTTGCAATGCTTGCTGGAACATGTTGAACGATTCTGACATCCTCTTGGAAGTTAGCGTTCGTTGAGGTTCTTCTCCGTCGTCTTCGTCGGGACTGTTCTGTTAGTTGTTGCAGATCTTCATTGGTGAGCACTTCTGTATGGGATGCCAGGGCGTCCTTAATATCCTCTGATTCCAGCTCATGAAAGCCTGCCTACCTAGCCAGGCTGAGGAAATCCCTATTCACAGCTGGGACGAAGTCCGTGAATCCTGTAAAACAGTTGACGTACTCGGGTCACAGTTTACGCCACACACCATTCAGGCAACTTTCTAAAACCTCTTCCCATATCTTGCCAATTGCATGAAGAATGTTGAAGCCACGCCAATATTCTCGGATCGTGGGCTTGTGTTCTCCGTCTGTAGCCTTGAGCAGCTTGAATGCGGCGATGACGCCTTGGTCCATAGGCTGTTGCCTATGTAACAATTGCTTCTTATATACCAGTATGCCACAGTAATGGGGAGAACATAATATCTCTACCTTTACTAACTGTGTATCTGTTGAGGTGACTGTTAGTGTGATATAACAGTTACTTGTGAAACTGTCATATGTAACAACCTTCCTGGGTTGTCACCACTTGTAACAATCACTTGAGAAGCACGTTACCTTATATTTTAAACATACTAAAATATAGATAAAAGTTTATTGGACCTTCTGAAGGGAAATCCAATACTGTATGTTCCTTTGTTGAGTTATTAAGAAAGAGTTCTATGTACACTTTCAGGTGTATATCACCGTAACTTAATCACTCTAGCTATGAGTGTTAAAATGAGGACAGAGGTTACATTAAATAGCTCTGCTAAGTACATCCTGTCGATACGATAGTTGAGTGAGAATGAGTAGAGACCCATCGAGGGAGAACGGTAATATACGTCCTCCCTCGAGGGAAGACGGAACCATCCATGATGGCTCTCAGTAACGTCTTCCTCTCGTCAAGGATATCAAACTACTGCTGCAAGAGGTGGCCAGAGAGCCGGCTACTTAATGCCTTAGCTCAGCACTAAGTGACAACTTCCCGTGGGCACACCTTACCACGTGCTCTGAACATGCTACCTCACAGCTAGTGTTAAGTTACAGATTGTGATACAGTATATAAATCAAATGTAATTAATCCATTTATATAAATACTTCTGCCTATAAGACAGGGATTATTACATCGCTGTCGTGTTGGGTGGCAGAAATACAACTTTTACACTGTCACGCAAGTCATCGAGATTGGGAGGATGAGCTGGAGCATTGTCAACGATCAGAAGAATTTTGAAGTCAAGGTTCTCCTTGGCACAGTATTCTTTCATTGCAGGGACGGCATACACGTTTAACCACTGGCTAAATATGGCGCCGGTTATCCATGCCTTTTTGTTTGCCTTGTAAATGACAGGAAGGTGATCCTTAGAGTAACCTTTCAATGCCCGTGGGTAAGCAGCGCAAAAAATCAACATCATCTCCAGCTTGACGTCGCCTGCAGCATTCGAGCCAAGCAACAGTGACAAGTGTTCTTTTGCTGCTTTAAAACCAGGCGCTCTTTTCTCCTCCTTGGAGAAAAGGTCCTCTCAGGCATCCTCTCCCAAGAGACCAGTCTCATCCACATTGAAGACTTGCTTCGATAAGTAGCCTCCTTCCAGGATAATCCGTTTGAATTCTGACGGTTATGTCTCGGCAGCGACCATATCTGACCTGGCAGCTTCACCAGTCATCTTAATATTGTGGAAGTTATATCTGCACTTAAATCGTTGAAACCAGCCACGACTGGCCGTAAAGGTCTCTTCCTTCGATTCTTCACCATCTTCCTTTATGTCATCAAACAAGAATCTGGCCTTATGGTGGATAACCGTAAGGCTCACAGGCGCATTGCGTTGATTCTGGTCCTCCATCCACATAGCCAGCATCTTTTCCACTTTTTTTATTACAGTACTTCTAGTACGAGTTGTTTTAGTTGCACTGAGAGTAGTACCACTCCCATCACTAACCTTAATATTGCCATCATTGGTCCGGATAGTACGCACTGTTGTGAGGGTTGGACCAAGCACAGCAGCTATGTCCACAGCACGTTCCCCCATTTCAAATCGGGTTAATACATCCATTTTCGTTGCAAGGGTAATAGTCTTACGTTGCCTCTTCACTACACTAGCATCGGTAGCACTTGATGGGCGCTTGGAAGCCATTTCGAATGGTTATAGTACAGTTTTAGAGCAAAAGCACTTGGGCATGCTGTGATGTTCCGTGAGTGAGGGTAGAGCGCTGAGCCGAGAGAGCGTAGCGTGGCCAGACAAGAGCAGGTGATGCACCGTAGAAAGTAGTCCGTGACGACGCAAAACGACGTAGTAACGGATCACCGGGACAAACGTATTTTTGGTCTCTAAAGTTTAGCGAAGTAGTACCTAAACAACGTTAAGCGGGACGATGTTATATGAGGATGTACTGTATTACAAAAAAGTGCAGTTCTAAATATTGGTAAAGAATAACCATAACAAAGCAATTGATAAAACAATCTTACACCAAAAATACTTACTCATATAAACCAAGGGCGATATTACTCTCCTCATCTTCATCAAGACTGAGAGGAAGGACAATCTGATTGAAGATGCTGTCAGTAGCTATCACAGCTTGCCTCAGGCTGTATCGTGATATTTTCCCACTGTCTTTTGCCAGAATCTTGAGAAGGTATGATATAGCAAGCAGAGATGTGATGTCCTGTAAATAGTGTTTTTGTTTTATATTAATGTCACAAATGAAAAATATTTTATTATATGCATACTGCTATACAAACATCTTATTGCTGTGCGTTTCTGTGCCCAGGGTCAAGCTATTTACTGTATATACAGGTACATGGGTCACTAATGAATGTTTAACAGTAACAGATTGCACATGTTACACACAATTATATTTGTGAATCACAAATTAATTGGCCTGGGGTAAGAAATTTGACAACCATATGTAAAAGAATCATTACATGATTGCTCTTAATTTTTCACCAGACCTATCATAGTTTGTCTATGTCTTATACGGTACCTCAAAAATTGGAGAGAGAAACTATAAGACTGAAGTACAAAAAAATAAGTGACTACACATCTTTATCTATAAATACAGAAATCGTGAGTTTATCACAATACTCACTTCAGAGCTGTAAAAAAAATACAGTGCAGCATGCACTGACAATTAGCAGATTTTTTCTTCACGGATCTAGATTATTCGTGGATGACACCCTGGATGTACCAAAGAATATTTGTGGGTAGTTTTAAAGTTGCAGACATTTTCACGGCCGGGACAGGGAGCCATTTGTTCTAGAGACAGCAATTTCTGTTACCTGTATTGTATATGTGTGTGCGCACAAATAAATAATAATGTGAAAATCCTCTCACAAATAATCAGAAACAAGACAATGGAAATTTATTAAAAATGTAAGAGTCTTCCCTCACGTCAACTCTGTGCTTTATTAGAGTAGACTAATATTTTTAATACTTTTGTGGTCTTGTTTCTGATTATTTGTGATAGGATTTTCCCATTATTTATTGTGTAAAACAAAAACAATAATAATAATAATAATAATAATAATAATAATAATAATAATGATAATAATAATAAAAATAATAATAAAAATAATAATAAAAATAAAAATAAAAATAATAAAAAAATAAATAAATAAAAGAAATAAAAAATAAAAAAAACAAAAAAAATGAAAATACAAATAAAAATAAAAATAAAAATAATAAAAACAAAAATAATAATAATAAAAATAATAAAAATAAAAATAATAAAAATAATAAAAATAAAAATAAAAATAATAAAAATAAAATAAAAATAATAAAAATAAAAATAAAAAATTAAAATAAAAAATAAAAATAAAAATATAAAAAAATATAAAAAAATAAAATTAAAATAATAATAAATAAAAATAATAATAAATAAAAATAATAATAAATGAAAATAATAATAAATAAAAATAATAAAAAAATAATAATAAATAAAATAATAAATAAAAATAAAAATAATAATAATAATACTAATAATAATAAAACTAATAATAAAAATAATAATAAAAATAATAATAATAATAAAAATAATAAAAATAAAAATAAAAATAAAAATAAAAATAAAAATTAAAATACTAATACTATTAATACTACTAATACTAATAACACCAACACCAACAACAATACTAATACAGTACTAATACTAATACTAATACTAATACTAATAATAAACGTTTTATTGAAAGAGCATGGCAGCTGGAAGGCGGAAAATATTCAGTTACATGATTGAGGAATGGGTCTCTTGATTGACAAATAATATACAAGTAACATTAGTGATACAAATATGATATATAATAACTAGGTGGGGAGGTCATACTACAGGGCATTTCAACATAGTAACAGTGCAAAAAGGCAAGATTGACTGGGAGTGAACACACTGGTTGTTTACGAGTTGTTATTTTTTTTTTTTTTACAATGGTTGGGACTGGGCTGTTCTTATAGCAATCAGTAAGTGCTCGTATGGGCTGGATGCAGTTGTGGTATCGAACAGCAATTCAGGGACAAGGGGTCTCAGGTGGTAGTAGGAGCTGGCGTCGAGGATGGTGCAGAAGATTCTCACCAAATTTGCAGGTGAGGTCGTGGTGATGGTCAGAGAGAGCTGGGAAGGTCAGTGTGTTGAGCGCTTCTTCATATGTAGAGCAGGAAGGGGAGAGAATAATATTGCATGCTCTCTTTTGCACTTTTTTTTTGGTGTTTACGTTGTGTGGCATTTAGGGAGGAAGACCAGGCAGGGGAGGCATAGGTGATCTTGGGAAGTATGAATGTTGAGTACACACGGAGGAGTTCGGGCGCAGGACCTCCGAGGGACTTGAGTCGGCGGAGGAGGTTGAGACTGAAACTCGAGGATTTGACAACTTCACTGACGTGTGTTTTCCAACTTAGTTTGTTATCTATAGTGACGCCAAGGAGCTTAGTGGAGTATGCAACCTGGAGTGTGTTGGGGCCTAAAGAAATGGAAAGGGATGGAACAACAACAGAGGAGACGATGATGTGCATAACCATCGTCTTGGTATGGTTAATGGTGACGTTATTTTTGGTGGCCCAATTTTGGAGACTGTTCAATAAATCCTGGAGGGCCGTGTAGTCGGGAGCCGAGTTGGTGACACCGATCCCAATAGTGGAGTCGTCGACATATTTCCAGCGAACAGAGGTTTCTCTTAGGGCATCATTTATAAGCATAAGGAAGCAGAGCGGTCCCAACTTGGTGCCTTGGGGGACGTCACAGGTGAGTGACTGAAAAGTGAAGACAGCCCCTCGGAAGCGTACGGCTTGGCGTCGGTCACTAAGGAAGTCTGTAAGCCATGGTATAAGACTTCTACCAAACCCGAGGCCGATAGCCTTGTTGATTAAATTGTGGTTGACTAGGTCAAATGCTTTGGTGAAGTCAATGAAGCCGACAGCCACAGACGTTTTTCCAGCAAGCGGTATATGTAGTCGAGAAAGCTGACAAGACAGTGAGTGGTGGAGGAAGTTTTCAAAATGCCAAATTGCTGAGGATCTATGGAGCCTGCAATATCCGCGTAAGCCCGGTCAAACACAAAATTTTCACAGATTAAGCTGGGTATTGGAGTGATTGCAATGGGTCATAGCTCATTCAAGGATTGTGGGCTGGTTGACTTGGGCACTGGTGACACATATGAGGTCTTCCAGTCAGCTGGGCATCTTGCTTGGATGAGGGAAGAATTGATGATGGAGCAGAGGGGTTTAGCTAGTTCCGGGGCAAACTCCTTGTAGATTTCACTGGTAAGACAATGGGGGTGGTGGACCGATTTAACTTCAATCTGTCCAGACGTTTCTCTACTTCAAAATCTTCTTCTAAGTCAGTGGAAAAGGAGGCTGGTAGGTAAGCAGGGAGACTGGTTGTGTCAAGCCAGGGGAGCGTCTGTGAAATGGTTGTTTGATTGCTCAGCTGTGTCACCATTAGTGAGATGACTAAGGAAGTGTGTGTGTGTGTGTAGACACACTCGCAGACAAAAATAAAACACATACAAATAAATGATAATGGGAAAATCCTCTCACAAATAATCAGAAACAAAACAAAATGTATTAAAAATATTAGTTATCCCCTAAGTCAACAACGTGCTTTGTTATAACTTTAATAACAAAGCATGGAGTTGACTTGAGAGTAGACATTTTTAACACATTTTGTTGTCTTGTTTCGGATTATTTGTGAGAAGATTTTTCCATTATTATTTATTTGTGCGTGTGTGTGTGTGTGTGTGTGTGTGTGTGTGTGTGTGTCTATATACACACACACAAATACAATACAGGTAAAAGAAATAATTTTCCTCAGGACAAACACAAAGGGAATAGTATTGTAGCGTACTGTAAGTGGCCAGTTGTCAATTCTCTTTGTATGGGAACACAAACGTACGTACATGTAGATATCTCACACTCAGGAATGAGGTAGGATAGAAACTCACAATGCGCTTTCTGTATATATATTGTTGTACAGCGCAGTGCTTAGGAGTGACTAGGTAAGGAGAAACTTGCTCAGAGGTCCTGTAGGGCGAGGAGGTTTCTGAGGAAGCCGAGTGGTGAGGAGCTGTGAGAGATGTTGCTGGTCCAGTAGCCGAGTGTAGAATGGTCTCCCGATGATGATGATGATAATGGAGATAAAATGGCAATGGTTTGCCATGGGAAGGGAGAGAAGAGGTAAGATAGAAGGAAAGTTATGAAACGGGAAGTAAAGTAGTAGAGAATAAGAGCAGGTGGGCTATCCACCTAGCAGAGACGATTTGATTGGCTGTGGTGAAGGCCGCACTAAGAGGTCGCCTGAGCTCAAGGGAACAGGGGGGGGGGAGGAGGCTAAGCTAGCTAGCAAGAGGGTGTTTGTTATTGTGTTAGTTGGAGAGGTCTACTTGGTCCTTGTGTAACTAGTTGAAAACTCTCATCTTTTATCTTATTGGCGTCAAGGAGTTATTTATGCTGTGGTGTATAATTGTGTAAGTTGGAGAGGTCTGCTAGGTCCTTGTGTAACTAGTAGAATACTCTCATCTTTTGTGTACTATTTAGTGCACAATAGTTCTGGCTCTTGAGGGTTATGGAGAAGGCTTTTTGGCCACCAGCTGTGTGATCTTCTGGTGTCCTCTGTTTTTAGTCGATGGTATAATTCGTCTTCCATTACTTCTAGTTTGTACCATACTGCCTGTGCTTGGCTGTACTGTATGTTCTTATGTTCAGTGGTAAAATATTGTATTTTTCGTGAAGCTCTTTAATTTTGGTTGTGTATGGGGGACGTTGTTTGGAGGCTCTGAGGATGGCTTTGTTCTGTGTTGCCTGAAGTTTTAATTGGTTGGTAAGGCTGATCGTGTTTAATGGTATTGGCGGGTATTGGGGTGAGCGTAGCGAGAGGACCAATCACAGCGGCTTAAGCGTAAGGTGTGAAACGCTCTGATCCTGAACCAGAGGTTGAAGGTAGAGACTAGGTCGGCGATCGTACCCCTGCGTCCACTGCATAGACCTAGTCTCTCGGCGTAGATGGCTGTACGCGTCATTGGAGCCAGGACCACCACAGAGAGCAGACACGCAGAGCGACGGGGAAGCCGGAGATCAAACAGACATAGCTGATTCGCTAGTTCTGGGACCTCTCCCACCTTCCCACCAACCTTGGAAATCACAAGCACCTGACTCCATTCTCCAACTGACAATTCTGTTGATTCAATCGACACATTGAGCCTCTCCTACAGTATCGGACCTCCCTTAGGAACCCCGAATGCTGCTGAGGGGCTTGGTGTGAAGAAAGAGTCAGCAGTAAGTTTTCAGACCTTTTTCTACCACTCTAACCTTTATCTTCCGTGCCGTGAAAGGACCTATTCCCCTGTCAGTTGACGTACAGGGGAGTATTCGTCTGGAAACGCCCTCTGTCCCCACACCTCGCTAGTGCGTGTTTGTGTGAAGGGCGGGGGGTCAGCACAGCCTGCCGATTCGCCTGGGGACCTCTGTGATAGTGCAGGGCCTCCCCTACATGAGGGGCGCAGGAAATTAGGGACTGTTAGGGGAGATCTCCATAAATCTCCAATTCAAACAGTTAACATGCCTTCAATTAAACTTAAAGTGGACCGTACCATCCAACCGTGCATGGACCTCGCCTCACTTATTTTCCAGCTGACTTTGATCTTCCAAATACGTTCCTTCACCAATGACGACATTATTAAAATATTTGTACAGAATGACGAAGACGCCGACCAATTCCACTCCCCAGCATTGAACAAAAAACTAAAAGACAATGGCTTAACGGTCCTCAGCCCACCCGAATACCGCGCAAAATGCACCCTCATATGTAGAAAAGTCATCCCTCATATCCTTGACAACCCTAACCTATTGACAGAACTCAACACACACAACACCTCCCAAATGACATATGCAGCCCGGATGGGAACTCTCCCCATGTTAAAAATCACTACAGCTACACAAACTGACGCCATCAAATTGAAATCCAACGGAATAAAATTCGGCAATAACATCATCCCCTCACATAACATTGAATTCCAACACTACATCCCAGTTCACCAATGCTACAACTGCTACCAATTTGGACATACCACCAACCGTTGCAGTAACACACTAACTTGTTCAAAATGCGCCAATCAAGGCCACTCATACAGAAACTGCACTGCCACTATAACTAAATGCTCTAATTGTAAAGGCCCACACTCTGCCATCAGCAACAAGTGCCAAATCAGACTCGATAACAGCACAACACCACTCCCTCCCCGCCGACCCTCCCCTCCCACTGCACCTCCCACAGCACCACCTCCTCCACCCCAACACTCACTCCCTACTCCCACGACTCTCCCCACTTGCTGGACCAACAACCTGACCGCCCCCCTCCCGTCCCCCGACACTGACGCAAAAATCACCACCATCATACTTCTGGCACATACCCTAAGCAACGGTAACAGATCACTTTTTCTAAAACTGGTAATTGAGGGTTTGAAGGCTAACGGCCTCCCTACCATAAACATTCCTGACTCCTTCAGAACCGGTCCCGACCTCATCTTCCCCACTGCCCCCATCTCCGACCGTACCAACATGCCCCCCCCACCCCCCAGAGAATCCACTGTCTCCCTCCTCCCCTCCACTTCTGCCATGCCCACACCTGACTTATCTCACCATTCTACCATTACCTCACCCCCCAAAGTAATCAGTCCAAAATATACCGGCCCCTCCACTTCGACCTTGCCTACTCCCGACTTCTCCCACTTGACTACATTGAACTCCCGGACCACGAACACCCAAACCAAACCCAATCCTCCCCTAACACCCCAGACTCCCAAGAATAAAATGGCAGCCCTTCCCCCCACAGAACTAGTGGTCAAGACCCCTAGACCAAAGAGGAAGAACACCTCCCCCCTTTCTCCCTATACACCTGACAGCAAAAAAATTATACAATACACTCATCCAACCAAATCAATAATCAAAGTAAACCTATACGGCACTACCCCAAAGGAAACAGAAATCAACCCCGACACGAACCTAGCACACTCCCCTCAACCTCCCGACTCCCCCACACACAGTCACGTAACTGCCCTTCCCTCACTTGCATACACAACACTCATACCACCACCACGCTCACAGTCACTCGACAATTTAGACCTCATCCCTGCACCTCAGAATTTCTATCTTTAAGTACTAAACAGACCAAACACTCCCCTCCCACCTCCCTTGTATTAATATCTTCCCTATAACCACACCCAACAATTTCCCCCCAAATTAAAACCTAGCCTCTCCTTAACCCTCACCCAACGATTCCCACCCAACCTAACCAAATCAACCTAACCTCTCCTCAGCCCACACCCAACGATTCCCACCTAACCTAACTAAGCTTAACCTAACCTCTTCTCAACCCCACACCCAATAATTCCCACCCAACCTAACCTTACCTGACTTGACCAATTCCCTCCTCCCCCCCCTCACTCCAAACCCCACGCCACCAACTCAAACTCAAGACCACTCTGACAAAAAAATAAAAAATAAATAAATAAATAACTAAACCACTCAACCTGCACTAACACTCCCCCTAACAATCCCCCCAAAATAAAAACCTAACGTACCCAGCCATTACTAGCAATTCCACACAAAATAAAAAAATAACCATTCTACCATTACCTAACCACACCCTATCACTCCTCCCAAAACAAAAACCTAACATACCCAGCCGTTACTAGCAATCCCACACAAAATAAAAAATAACCATTCTACCATTAACTAACCACACCCTATCACTCCTCCCAAAACAAAAACCTAACATACCCAGCCGTTACTAGCAATCCCACACAAAATAAAAATAACCATTCTACCATTAACTAACCACACCCTATCACTCCTCCCAAAACAAATACCTAACTTACCCATCCCATACTAACTCAGATGACATGTACGTTTCCCTTAGCCAATAAGGTCGGTGAGAGTTCCACAGTGCCTGTACGCAAGCCCTCTCCCTCAAGAATGTTATCAACACTGTTTTATGGGCACCTCCCTTAGCCAATAAGGTCGGAGAGGTGTACCTAATAAAAACGGTACCAAATTGCAGACGACATTGAACGCCTCTCTTAGCCAACAAGGTCGGGGAGGGGTGCAATGTACCTGTACACAAACCCTCTCCCTCAAGAATGGGGCCAGAACTCACAATACCTGCAAGAAAGAGAGAATGCAATAATTAACCCAACTCTGCCAACCACTAACAAAACCTACAATCCTCCCAAAAGAAAAACAACCCACCCAACCTTACTCATAATCCTCTTAGAAAAAAGCTAACTCACTATCCAACCACTAACAAAACCTACAATCCTCCCAAAAGAAAAACTTAACCCACCCAACCTTACTCACAACCCCTCTTAGAAATCAATACCTACAATCCTCCCAAGATAAAAACTTAATATACCCGACCTTTCTAACAAGCCCCTTTGACCCTCCTAATAAAAAAAAAAATAAATAAATAAATAAAATAAATAAAAAAATAAATAAAAACATATGACGCAATACAACTATTCATTAGCAACACAAAACATATCATTCCTAAGAAATCCTACCATACCATAAATTAACCCAAGAACCTCCAAAGCCCCCCTTTCCCCCTTTCGCCTCCCTTTCCTCTCCTCTCCTCCCCCCTCCTCCCGACAACCGAACCATACCTGACCTTATAACATTATCCTAACCCTCCCTCTCTCCCCTTACATTTACATGCAAACACATACACACTCACACAACAACCCCCCTTAAGCAATTTTAATTCACCTTAAATTAACATACAACCGCCACCCCCATCAATCCCCAAACACAAACTCCCCCCCTCCCTCAACCAATCTCCAAACACAACATCCCCCCCCCGCCAGACAAAGCCACCTTACCAAAATCGACCTAACTCAAGACTGAAACCTAACAACCTATATCTCACTCTCATCTCCGTTCACAATTTGACATAGCTCAAATCTGCCTCCTGCCATTACTAAACAACTCTCCTACGATACACTCATCCTTCCTCACTACGAATACTTTGACATTTCAAACTCAAAGATTCTAAACTCTTCCTCCAACTCTCTCCATTTCTCTCTGACATAGCTAAAAGACCCACAACTCTCAGAACCTAATCAAACATACCCAACGTCTGTGACATCCAATTCTTAATAAAATTGACCTAACTCTAGACTGAAACCACTCAACCTATATCTCATTCTCGTCTCCGTTCATAATTTGACAAAAAAGCTCAAATCTGTCTGCTGCTATTACTAAAAACTCTCCTACGATACGCTCATCCTTCCTTTCTATGAATACTTTGACATTTCAAGCTCAAAGATTCAAAAACCCTTCCTCCAACTCGCTCCGTTCCTCTTTGACATAGCTCAAAGACTTTACCTTCATCTCTCTCCAAACAACCCTACGACTAGCAAAATTTCTTTATTTTCACCTTCTCTGTTTGATTTGATCGTGTGCTGCCTGTGCGTCCGTCCACCTGCGTTTCTCGGCTTGCGCCGCCGCCGTGGCGGGGCGGTTCTTCCTACGTTTTACCAACACTGCCTAGGCTAAGACGACAATCAGAACACCCGCGTTGGCCCTTTGCTTGCCCGGACCTGCTCCCGCCCTCCCTCTGCCTCGTCCTGATTGTGGTTGTTGCACCCTCAGGGCATTTTGCCTACCCCCTCACGCAAGCGGTGTTTAGCCACTGCACCTGTTCTCTCCTTCTAAAATTCACTTCCATCCTATCTTTATTCTTCCTCTGAACCTCCTTCCCCCCTGTCACTAGCATTTTTCTAGTTCTAGGCTGTACGCGTGCATCTGATTGGATGGCAGGCGCGCGGCCAGAGCTCAGTTGGGAGTTGTAGGGGAGAGGAGCCACTACAGTATACATTTCTTTGCGCACGATTAATAATGTACCCCTACCACCTGGTCAGCAAATGTTATTTGCGGATTTGGCTATTCGCGGCCATTTTGAGAACCTAACTTCCGAGAGTTTTAAGGGCATGCTGGACTGTACTTACTCTGGTGGCTGTTGTCAAAATACGGGTAATGGCGTCCATTAGTGCAGTAGAGAGTATGGCATGGCTTTGACAAACACCGATCAACAGAGCCACACATCCACCAACTTCCTCAATCTTGGTCACCTCTGTATGTACACCTTTGCTCTGTTAGACAAAATGATATATATATCAATATCTTCCATACACGCTCACTAAAATGTACTTAAGAGGCATATTAATCGACATTTAGCAACAGCCATGATTATTTGAATGAGTCACTTGTTGCATTCCTGAGCATTCATTGTTATAAATTAAGACAATCAAGAAATTCAAAATTTTTCTGGTCAGTATTATTCAATCGGACTAAGGGTAACTTAAGAACAATCCAACCTTATCTACAGTCCAACACACATGTTGTACAATGGTGGCAGCCATGTGAACCATCACTTCAGACAGGTCCTGTCTTGAATTCTTGTCCAATGATGTAAGTACCTGCACCAGTGTGTCATGTATCTCTTCAGCATTCTGATCACAAGGAAAAACCAAAACTAATAATCAACAAACACTCCATATGCAAATGTAAAAAACACGAGTCATTTTACACTAGCACCCATTTCATACCATCAGGTTTTCCTTATTATTATTACATTTTTCAGGTATACAGTATAGTCTGGATTTATGCGGTTTTGGTTAACGCGTTTGGTCATTTACGCAGTGCCTTGCCAGAATTGAGATGCTATAATTACGCTGTAAATTTGGTCATTTACGCAGAGCAGCAGCTGGCGGTCCATCCGCGCCATTTTGGATTCAAACCTCCCGCCATGCCTGGCTATAAGCGGAGGGAAGCGGCATACGGAGGGGTGCGCAGTAGGTCGCCGTTGCGTTATCGGTGACGTCATATGACGTATCCGACTGTGATTGGGCCACGCATCCTTACCACCCACGCATTCCCTCCGCCGCTAGCTGTGATTGGTCTAATGTAACATGACGTGCCCTGCCACCAGAGGGTAGAAGTCGCTGACCTAGCAGGGCCTGCCTCATTGTTTTCAGTCCGCGTATACAGTTCTCTCTTGTGCCCACTATTCCCCTCACAACTCACAATGGCTTCTGCGGGACCCCCCACCACCAGAGAAAAACATTGAATTACCTGGACCAAGCCACGATTGTGTGAAGGAAATAATCGAGTTGGGGGAGAAAATTAAGCTCATCCTTAACAACGACCCAGACAAGCATCGGTATGAAGCGTCTAATAACCATCTGACGAAAGTTATGGAACCGTATATCCAGATCTATTTCGACAACATCAATGCTAGTCGTCAACGTAGTATTGAGGACTTCCTCGCCCGCAACCCACCACAACCACCCCAAGTCAGTGATAGTGACGATATGGACTTTGAGAGGTTTGTCTGGGAGGCCCTGCAAACCTCTGCGAGAAGTGAAAGTGATTCACCGGAGGGCAACTAATCTGCCCTCTTGTCTCGGAACCAGCCGCCATCTATGTATGCCGACCCATCTCTTCTACTAACGTAAGTGTTAAATCTTGATTTTTCTTTTACCCGACAAAGTATATTATTCTCTTATTGATATTTATCTTCTATATTATGTGTGTGTACATACCATCATAAAGTCAAGATACTATTTTTACTACAACGTACGTATTGTCGGCAAAAAGTGGAATTTGGGGGTCGGCCCAGTCTCTATTTCAATTAATCCCATATGTTCTGTTATTTCATCAACGCGTTTCTCGTTTTACGCGGGCCTCCACGGGATCAATTGGCCACTTAAATCCAGACTATACTGTATAATTAATTTGTTTTTATCTATTAAGAAAGTTCTGGAAGATTTAGGGTGTTGTTGGTCTCTGATGCCACTTCGGGATTTATCTTCACAAGGATGATCTTTGTTTCTGGATTAAACCTTTACAGCTACTGTATAATTATCTGCTTCACACACACACACACACACACAATATTTTCTGAAACAAAGTCAAATCTAAGTGCAGCTGAAAGCCAGTGAGCCAGAATCAGACATCAAGCCTAAAATTTTCTTACTGTTAAAGAAATTCAAACTCTCTTTACTGTCTTTTCTTCTTCAAGTGCTGCTCAACATTTTCTTTTACCCAACACACCTATATTATCGGTACAGTAAAATACTGTGCTTGGCAACACTGATTTTAACCCTTCACCACTGGGACATCACTTTTAATAATCTATTTGGATAGTGCCAGATACCTTTATTAAGCTCAGAGGCAACCCTGTGCACAAGGGGTTAGTTAGTACACTGGATACAGCAGTGAACTGACCAGATTGTGGTTTACTGAATTAGGAATTCATCTCGCTACTCCAACCAGCACATTAATATCAGTTTCCAAATATAAAAATACATATTCTTGGTAAGGACAATGCCACACCCTGTACATACTTTTTTACCATCAAGCATCCTCCTCCTCTTCCTCACATGTCCAAACCATCTCATAGTACCGTTCCGTTCCGTTCCGTTCCGTTCCGTTCCACACAGCCTCCTATACATTTCACTTTGTCATTCCTTCCCCTACTCTCCATTACCCTTTCTCACTCACATATTGGACTTCATCTTCCCTACTATCAATATAATATATGTGAACACACCTTTGGTAAATTGTCTTGCAATTTGAAGTGGTCTGATGTTGATGATATACAGGTGTTAATTATGTGGACAGGCGTCACGTCCTCACTGTCTTCATCAGCCTCATGTAAGTGCTCGTATGTTTGCAAAAACTCGTGAGCCTCCGTAGCCAACAATAAACTGTTCTGCCAAAAACTTCCAGAAGCTTCTGAAGAAAATAAGTTACATAAGACAACCAAACTAAAGATAAATGTATAAAAACATCTAAAAGCACTTATGAATAAAGCTTGAGTCTAAATCAGGTACACCAACCTCTCACTTTTCGTGTGGGTTACGTTCTTGAAAATCAACACATAATTCAAAAACCCGTAAATTAGACATATTTTTCCCCAAACAATACATGTAAATGGTACAGGTTAGGGAAAAAATCATATAACTGCCACAATAAATGAGGCACTCTGCATTAGAAGGGAGTGATGTGCCAAATTCAAAAATCAGAGAAAAATGCGTTTAAAGTTTTTTGAAGTTCAAACAATCAAACTTTTTTTTTTTTTAAGCTAGAGGGATCATTTTTTTATCACGCAGCTCAATCCCTCTCCTAGCAAAATGGGAAAACTGGAAGTTAGTACAGAGCAGGGCGCAATACTTTTGCCCGTCGGTCGCTCGTGAGCCGGCGAGGGCTGCTTCCACATGGTCAAGCCAGTCCTCGACGTTGTGGTTGAAAGTCGGCAGAGAGATCCGTCCGTCCTCCATCCTGTGTGAGTGCTTATCTCCGGGAGTCACCATTGTAGGGGTATCGAGATATTAATATTGTCTAGCACTCAGGATGGAAGGAAACTCTAATGTGGTTTTCTTGTATAATATATAAGTTATATGATAGACAGTCTGGTGCTGGAGATGCTGTGTGGTGGGGAGCTGCTCAATAGAGACATTCGGTGAGTAGCTTGTTGAAGGAGGTTGTGCAGGAGCTTCGTTAGAGAAGATGTTGCCTGTTGCTGGCCTCCTGGTTGAATGAATGCTGAATAGCTAGGAGCTTGCTGGAGGAGGTGTTGCTTGTTCAGGAAGATGGGCAGAATGAGAGTTGGTTGGTGAGGAAGCTCAGAGGACAGCTGGTGGGTCGCCATGCTCGCTGGCGGGAGCGAGGACCGCCAGGTAGGCGAGGAGAAGCGAAGGGCTGCCAGGCAGCAGCGGAGGAGGAGGTGTTGCTTGTTCAAGAAGAATGGTCAGAATGAATCTCAATGGAGGGACAGAGCTTATATACCCCGCAGCAGCCGCTATGAGTCATGTTGGGAAAACCCAGAAAGTCGCCGGTGAATAGTTTCGTTGCTAGGCAACGGCGACATTGGAATGCGGATACGCTTGGTTGCTAGGGAAGACGGTAACAGGTGGTGGCGTGGCTACGCAGTTGTCAGCAGTTGTAGGGGAGACGTCCACTACAATACTCCCCCTCCCCTCCCGGCGCGGCGGGAGGCTGGATGTTGCCCGGGTTGTGTCCCACACATAACACATACCGGGCAGGTGTATGTACGACTCGTCCGCTACGTGTAACAACTCCGTCCAGTGACACAAAACCTGTGGGAGAATTAGGAGGAGAAAGAGGGTTTGGGATTAGAGGAGGTTGTACAAGCAATGGTTGTTGTGCTCCTGCTGCTGGAGGGGCTGCGTCAGGAGGAGGGTCCATGGCAGGAGCAGGTTCTATGATAGAAGGGAGATCTATTACAGGTTCAGGTTCTATGACAGGAGGAGGGTCTATGACAGGAGCAGGTTCTATGATAGAAGGGAGGTTTATTACAGGTGCAGGTTCTATGACAGGAGCAGGTTGTACATGAGGGTGAAAAGAGGGTGCCCAGAAATGTCGTGGGCGTGGTGTTGCTGCCGGTGGTAACTGCGGGTGGACTGGTGCAGGCGTAGTTTGTTGATGGTGCTGCTGGGCTGGGGGCCCGACGGGTAAGGCGGCCGGTTTGACTCGGTCTATGCTGACGGTGTCATGTCTGCCATTCCGGAGAATTGTCAGGAACTTTGCTGAACGGGTAACCACCTGGAAGGGTCCATCGTAGGGGCGTTGTAATGGGTTGCGGTGAGCATCATGCCTGACGAAAACATACTCGGCTGTGAGTAGTGCAGGAGGGATGTGTTCAGGGCGCCGAGTAGGCTGGCGTGGAGCAGTAGCTCTGAATGCAGAAACTGCTTGTCGTAGCTTTTGGAGTAAGTCGTGACGAACGGCTGGAGTGGTTTGGTTGGGATCAGGAGGGAGTGAGAAATCCCCGGGTAGCCGAAGGGGCTCGCCTAGTGTCAGATCTGCTGGGCTACAGTCCATATCCTCCTTGTGTGACGCACGGATGCCGAGGAGCACTAAGGGAAGCGCATCAGTCCAGCTGTAAGGGTCGTGCTGTGCCTTGAGTGCGTCCTTCAGCTGCCGGTGAAAACGTTCTACCATGCCGTTGGCTTGAGGGTGGTATGCTGTAGTGCATTGTCTAGACGTGCCGAGGAACTGTAGGAGGTGCTGCCAGAGTTGTGACTCAAACTGTACTCCTCGGTCAGTGATTACGGTTGCGGGGGGGGGGCCAAAACGGGAAACCCAACCGGACATGAAGGCGCGGACAGTAGTCTCTGCTGTAGCGTTGGGCATGGGAATTGCTTCTGTCCACCTAGTGAAACGGTCGATGCAGGTGAAGATGTAGGTGCTACCGTAGGATGATGGTAGAGGTCCCACGATGTCGAGGTGTACTACTTGAAAACGTCCTTTGGGAATAGGAAAGGCTTGTAAGGGGGCCCGTATGTGACGATGTATTTTGGAGGACTGGCAGGCCAGGCACTGGGCAGCCCATTTCTTAGTATCAGACTTGATGCCGGGCCAGACGACACGTTGCGTGAGGAGGCGTTGGGAGGCCCGCACACCCTGGTGGCTGAGACCATGGATGCGGTCGAAAACAGCGCGGCGGTGGACGTGAGGCACGAACGGTCTAGGCTGTCCACAGGATACGTCGCACCACAATTTTATCTTTGTGCCAGGAACAGGGAGTTCTTGGAGTATGAGGCCTGAGGGGGATGTCTTGTATGCTGCCAGGTCTTCGTCTTTCTCTTGAGCCGCGGCTAGCTGCCCATAATCAATGGGTGGAGATGAGGGAAGAATGGTGGATATACAACGAGAGAGGGCGTCGGCGATCTCGTTGTGGCTGCCTTTAATGTGTTGGATGTCGCTGGAGAACTCCGAGATGTAAGCCAAGTGGCGCAGGACACGAGGTGTATGTGACTGGGAAGCTGAAGCGAAGGCGTGGACGAGGGGCTTGTGATCAGTGAAGATGGTGAACTGACGGGCCTCGAGGAAGTGTTGGAAATGTCTGACAGCCAAGTATATGGCCAGGAGTTCTCGATCAAAAGCGCTGTACTTGAGGTGTGGTGGTTGAAGCCGTTGTGAGAAGAAAGCAACGGGCATGAAATTCCGTTGATCTCCTGCTGTAAGACGGCGCCCACTGCAGTAGAAGAAGCGTCTGTTGTGAGAGTGGTCCGGGCGTTAGGTGCGGGGTGGGCCAGGAGGGTGAGGCGTGTGATGTGCTGTTTGATAGTGGTGAATGCCGTAGTAGCCTCTTGAGTCCACATGAGAGACTTGTGAGACTTCTTTGGGCGTCCCTTGAGAAGGTCGTGTAGGGGGGCTAGGACGGTGGCAGCTCTGTCGATGAAGCGGTGGTAGTAGTTGACTAAACCCAGGAACTCTCGGAGTTTCTTCGCCGTTTCAGGTTTGGGGAACTCCCTAATCGCGGTTATCTTCTGTGGTAGGGGTTGTATGCCACTGGGCGAGACTCTGTGACCGAGGAAATCGATGGCCGAGGTTCCAAAGACGCACTTAGCAGGATGAACTTTCATGTTGTTGTTTTGCAGGCGTTGGAGAAGGAGTTGTAGGTGGTGGCGGTGCTCGGCAGGCGTCGAAGATGCGACGAGGATGTCGTCAATGTAGACGGTGACAAAATCGAGGTCGCGAAGCATATGGTCCATGAACCTCTGGAAAGTCTGTGCTGCATTGCGTAAGCCAAAACTCATGAAAGTGTACTCGAAGAGTCCGAACGGAGTGGTGATGGCTGTCTTCTGGGTATCTGCCGGTGCTACTGGAATCTGGTGGAAGGCACGCTCCAAGTCGATCTTCGAGAAGATAGTCTTGCCATGAAGTTTGTGGTGAAAGTCCTGGACATGCGGAATAGGGTACCTGTCAGGTTTGGTGACGAGATTCAGGGCTCTGTAGTCGCCACACACCCTCCACTCGCCGGGTGTTCGCTTAGGAACCATGTGAAGAGGCGATGCCCAGGGACTCCTTGAAGGGCGAATGATGCCGTCTTGCAGTAGTTTGTTGAATTCTACTTTGGCTGTGTACAGGAGCTCAGGGCGCAGGCGGCGAGGGCGTGAAAAAACTGGTGGTCCTTTGGTTTCGATGTGGTGGAAAATTCCCGACGTAGGTGGTGGGGGTAGGGAGACTCGGGGTGAGAAAAGCTCCTTGAATTCGTCGAGCAGGGAGGAGAACTCGTTGGAAGGCGCAAGACAGGTGATAGCGTCCGTGTGTCTGGCACGAGAACCCTGGATCTTGCGTGCTGTAGGCTCATGAATGAGGCATAGATGACTTGGTTTGACGCCGAGCTTGTGGAAGGTGAGGAAGTCGAAACCAAGGATGGGTTGAGACACGTCTGCTATCACGAATAACCAACGCAGAGTCTTGGGCAGACCGAGGTCTAAGGCGAGGGTGCGTACGCTGTAGGAGGCGATGGAGGTACCGTTGGCAGCGAACAGGTCATACGAGGGTTGCTTTGACTTGTCTCGTAGTGAGGGAGGGATGAGGCTGACCGATGAACCGGTGTCGATGAGGAACTTCTTGCCGGAGGTGCGGTCGGTGACGCGCAGTAATGAGACGCCTGGAGGGACGGAGGCTGAGGCGTCTACCAGCCTCCGGTGTTGCCGTTTCCCGAATAGGTGCAATAGGGCTCACAGTTTCGAGCATTGCGGCCGAAAGTCTGGTGATACCAGCAGAGGGTAAATTTGTTGTGCTGGGGGTTGGCTGCTGTGTGTCGGAACTTGTAGGGCGTAGTGTGTGAGTCAGGAACCGGCGCAGCAGCGGGTATGGAGGAGCAGAACTGCTCAATGGTGTCCATCCTGCGGTTCAAAATTTGCAACAGGTCCTTGATGTCTTGTGAGGTATTGCTCGGCTGAGGGGTGTTGACCCGGCTTACAAGTTCGATGGTAGGTACTGGTGTGACCGTGGAGGCAAGGGGTGCAGCAGCGCACTCGTTAAAAATTCTATCTGCCGCGGTTGCATATAGTTCCGGTGTCGTAGAGTAATCTACTGCGGACAGGATGTTGCGTACTTCTGTGGGTAGCTTTTGTGCGTGAAGCTGGCGCAGGATAGAGTCAGAGAGTCTGTCTGTGTGACGGGAGTTCAGCCGACACATCTCCTCCCAGAGACGTCCCGGGGTTGAGTTCCCGAGGGAGGTAGAGGCTAGATCTTGCAGGAGATTGGGGCTGGTCTGTTGATAACACGTCTTCAAGGCAGCCCGCAGGGTAGCGAATTTGTTGTGATCTGGAGGGTTGGAAATGGTTTGTGAGACCCGCGTGGCCACTTCCGTGGGCAAGGCACAGAGCAGGGCGCAATACTTTTGCCCTACGGTCGCTCGTGAGCCGGCGAGGGCTGCTTCCACATGGTCAAGCCAGTCCTCGACGTTGTGGTTGAAAGTCGGCAGAGAGATCCGTCCGTCCTCCATCCTGTGTGAGTGCTTATCTCCGGGAGTCACCATTGTAGGGGTATCGAGATATTAATATTGTCTAGCACTCAGGATGGAAGGAAACTCTAATGTGGTTTTCTTGTATAATATATAAGTTATATGATAGACAGTCTGGTGCTGGAGATGCTGTGTGGTGGGGAGCTGCTCACAGAGACATTCGGTGAGTAGCTTGTTGAAGGAGGTTGTGCAGGAGCTTCGTTAGAGAAGATGTTGCCTGTTGCTGGCCTCCTGGTTGAATGAATGCTGAATAGCTAGGAGCTTGCTGGAGGAGGTGCTGCTTGTTCAGGAAGATGGGCAGAATGAGAGTTGGTTGGTGAGGAAGCTCAGAGGACAGCTGGTGGGTCGCCATGCTCGCTGGCGGGAGCGAGGACCGCCAGGCAGGCGAGGAGAAGCGAAGGGCTGCCAGGCAGCAGCGGAGGAGGAGGTGTTGCTTGTTCAAGAAGAATGGTCAGAATGAATCTCAATGGAGAGACAGAGCTTATATACCCCGCAGCAGCCGCTATGAGTCATGTTGGGAAAACCCAGAAAGTCGCCGGTGAATAGTTTCGTTGCTAGGCAACGGCGACATTGGAATGCGGATACGCTTGGTTGCTAGGTTAGACGGTAACAGGTGGTGGCGTGCCTACGCAGTTGTAAGCAGTTGTAGGGGAGACGTCCACTACGATTTGCTTGTACAGTAATGGTCGTGAATCAATGGAGAGACAGAGCTATATACCCCTGCAGCAGCAGTGAGTCATGTTGGGAAAACCAGAAAGTCGCGCGGTGAATAGTTGGTTGCTAGGCAACGGCGACATTTGAATGCGGATACGCTTTTGCTGCTAGGTTGTATTTTGTAACAGGTGGTGGCGTGCCTAATGCAGTTGTAAGAAGTTGTAGGGGAGACGTCCATTACACGAGTGATGCTCCAAAAAATAAGTTTTCAGAGCATTTCAAGATTACAGAATAGCTGGATATGGGATTGTGGACCTGTATTATTAATAATAATATGAAAATCATTGACGTTTATTATGAATGTATTAGCACCTTGCCAGGCATCACACGCGACCTGCTGCCAGGCGGAATATGTGGCAAATTGGGGAATAATTTGAGTGTTATTTTCAAACATAGGTGCGAGTATAATTGGCTTTGGTATTAATTAAACAAACGCGTTATTCCAAAAGCGATTAAATCAAACGCATGTGATACGTGAGGTGACTGTACTACAAGACAAAGTATGGTACTGGAGTGGGTATATGAGGGGTGATAGCATAAATGACTATGGAAAAAAAGTTATTGTAATTTTAACCCACCTAATGTGGCTAGATTCCTTTGTATCAATAACAAAACAAATTGGAATTTCTTATAATGCATTCTCTTTGTTAATGCATTGGCTGAAGTTACATAACAAATCAAAGGACATTATCCCCTGATTATAGTGTTCTCTATTGCTACATTTATTATGTTTCTCGACCTGTTGACAATAAAGAAAGGCACAAAGGTCTTACTTATCTTCAAAAGGCCGTTTATAAAACCACAAAGTTTGTACACAAAATAGGTGTTGGTTGCTCCAATCATAAGCAAATTGGTACTAGTTTTTAAGAGGGCATTGAGCACAGACATAGCTATACTCTGAACTACATATCCACTTCTCAGCTTCCTCTTGCCACCTCCTCCATTTTCCTCTGCCAGCACTGGAACCACAACTCTGTGGGAAGAAACATTAATTACCAGTCTTAATGTGATATAATGAGACTGAAGGGACAAGTAATAACTGGATGGACGACCGACGGAATTAACATTTAACTGGCAGCTGAGGATTCCCGACTGGGCCTTCATGTACACAAAAACGGAATGGAAGGAATGTGCAACATCCATTGATGAAAATGGTTCAGTGAATATTATTCTTGGGATCTTCTTTATGGAAGCAAAACCACACCAATACAAATTATTGCAGCAGTATGGTTGAATGAATGAGAGGTTGACCCATGACACCATGTCAACAGGAAGGTCTTGTAAGAGTGAAAGAAAGGGGATGAGGTTATTAAGGAGACCATGTACCTGTTAGCCCAGTTCCAGCAGAGTGACACATTCTCTGAACTATCAAACAAAAGATCCTCTTGATTTTCCTCGTCATCATCGACTCACTTGAGCTGATTATGTTGCTGGCTCTCTCAACAGGGGGATTGTTGAGCACTGCCGCTAAGCTGAGGTGTACTGGGACCAACACTCACACAAGAACACATCAGAACACAGTGGTGATAGTTCTGCGGCTGGCTTAAACGCTCATTTATCCGATCCTTGAAATACATGGAAATCTTTCCCCAGTATTGGCGTATAATTATATATCAGGCACTCAGGTTGACAAAGAAGATTCAACCTGAGAACTCCTATTACTTTTTTAGTAACAGTACAAGGTCATGGGGTAAAAATTTTATTAGGTAAAAATATAAAAACTGGACAAGACAAATAAGAAAACTAAATTTGACTATTAATGTTTGAATAGTTATCACAAACAGAGGTCACAAATAGCAGTACTGTACATCATTGTATTTATAATGTAAATCTTTTATACCAAAGGTGGGGATTATTAGTCAGTAAGAAACATGTCTATATATTCATCAGGTTACATGAAGTATGACTGGCTGCTGTGACAAACAAAAGTGTTGATCATTTTCAAAAGAAGTAAACCGCTATAAACGGGTTGAATCAAAGTTAAATACAATTGCATTACACCTCTGACTTTTTTCCCCAAAATGTGGTGAGGATAATAAACAAAGCTTCTCCATTTTACATAGGATATCCATTGTGATGGAAAAGGCCTCATAAGTTTTAGCCCCCATGACTCACTTTAACTTTGTCCATATTGTAGGTTATCTCCAGCAGCATATGCCTGTGCTTCTCCATCGTTGATAGCTTGTTGAGGGGATGCTGCAGGATGTGGCGAATCAGACGCAAGGCAACGATAGGCTGTGGCACATTTGTCTCACGGAAGCGCACACCACGGCCACGTTGGCGACGTTTCTGGAGTGTCTGTGTGTGTGTGGGGGAGGGCATAATCATATGCAAGAAATAACATAGTAATTCATAAAAGAATAATTAAAGGACTACTATACACATCTACATATTGAAAAACAATGCGAGTTTTTAGATATATTAATGTACTGTTTCAAATGTATTACTTAATCATTGATCTAAGAATACACATTCTGAGATACATTAATGTACCGCTTTGTATCCTATCACCATTATTACAGTATTTACCTAGTGTATAAAAGGCTTTCAACTACAGTTTAGGCATAGGTGAATGTATTCTTGCTGGTAACAAAAGGAGATTACAAGTTTTAGCTGAGGTTTGAGATCAGATGTCAATAAGGCATTAGACTTGGAGAAAGTTAAGGCAGCTAGACTTATGAGTATAATAGTGACTACCCATGTACTTAAGTTAACATAGTAACCAATTATGGGGGAGATAGTTCAGAAAAATCCCCCCCCCCTTCCACCTTTCTGATACTTAGTATACAACATTTCATCAACAGGTCTTCCAGTTCCCTTTCTCTGTAGCCTTTAAATGGTGGCCAGTGGAAGTTAGGTATATGTATGGTGGCTATCAGCCGTGAAAGTTTCATGTTCTTGTGTTCCATTTTTGTGTATATGGAACCTTAGCCCATAATTAAGGGCTTACTGTATTATATACGTCCACACCACCCTAACAAACTATAATGTTGAGCAATACTTCCCTATGGATCCTCATCTTTACCAACTAGCTAATGGTCAGACACTCCACCTGGTCCATCTCACAACTTAAAATTCAGTCTTCACATAATAACACCTCATTATCTCCTCCACTACCCCATTACTCCTTGGCACATTTATCTCAAATCTCTCCTGGCATCTACGTTTCCCCACAACACTGCAATAAGGTCATAACAAAGAAGAGACTAACTACCTCAATGGTGAAAAGATAGATAAATAAATAAATATTCCTTTACTTTATCTCCAACAATGAGACTTTCCTTGTTGATTCCGATTTTCCAAACCCTCTCTGGCCTCACTCTCTAAAAATAGTCCATCCTGCAACTCCACATTCCAACACTTCCATCATACATTTTTACCCTCTCAGATACTCTGGTCTAACTTCCCTCACATGTTCCTTGTGAATTTTGTTTTGTTTTCAAAGGTTTAGGAACAGTTTGGAAGGATTTTTGCTCACCAAAATTACAAGTGCCTATCCATATAAGAGGTGTTAGAGGCTCTCTAGCTACTGTATGTCCAGAACTCAAAACATGAAACGAGACTTTTCCGAATGTTTACCTTGGTACCGGTAGGTGAGCCAACCTTCATGGCTTCCTCAAACCTCCGAGGCCAGCTCTAGGACATCAACGGCACGATTCCAATTACAGAAGGCATTGACGTATGAACCATGTGCATCCTCATTTTCCTGAAACATATCAACATGTTGTTAACATAAATGCTAAACCATTCAAAATATTATTTTGGTCTGTAAAATTTGTAATATTTATGGTCCAGGGTTGATGAGCAGCAATGTGTACAGTACTTGAGCAGCCCTTAAAGAGCCTTTCTTACCCTCCTTAAAAATAAAATTTCACTTGAAGTTTGTGTACAGTATTTAACTTTTAATTAATGGAGGAGTCAATAAATGTTCTTGTATGATAATATGATTAATAAAAAAGGGGGTAGAAAAAGATGAGGGCAGGATGACTGTATATAACAAAGACAATAAACAATAAAAATAACATGAAGTGTACAGAATTATGGTCTTCATCGAGGCTGAGGAGGAAACTTTTAGTGTTATCCTGCAAGGCAGGGAAACATCTTAAAATGATTGTACTAATATGAGTTACAAGTGAAGTTTGTTTACACCACCTGATCTTGCTGCAGTGCTCGAAGCCGTGACAGACAGTGGCTGACCATAGTGGGCACCAGGGCTGCAGTAGGGCAGGAAACTTGACAGGTAAAGTAATGTCACCAGGATACATCACTGTTGTCCTATAAATAAAAACAAGAAGAATTAAGTGAGGATAAACTCACACCATGCTGAGAGAAGTGTACACAATATACTATACAGAGTTACTACTTCTGTATATCCAGGTACAGTATTTGGTACAATCTTAATTCTGCAAAAAGAAATATATATATAAACTTTTATATAAAATAAATCAAATTGCTACAGTAAAAAGTAAACAAGAAACATACTTTTATCTTACTGTGACACAATTGTGTATTTACTTTTATTACAGGATTAAACCACAATGTCTCCATAACACCACAAACCTTCCCCTGCATGAAGCCCTAATACCATTACCATTTTAAAGACATTTTCCACACCAGTATAGGTAAGCCATGATAGCATAATGGGAGTTTTCCCCTCTGCATGGTCTCTTTCAGCCTCTCTCATCAGGTTCTTATATCTCCAGGATCAGTGCTTACACCCTCTCCTCATATTATTCTTTTGGGGTACCTCTGAAGCTCCCCGTCCTCTCTATGTAAACCCATCCATCTCATGACTGTTGATCTCAAATTCTCTCTACATAACCAAACCATCTCAGCCCTACCTCTATACTAATACTCATTACCCAGCTGCCCTCTTAGCTTTCACTGTCACATTACATACTGTACATCTCTCTGTACACCTTTCAGTCGGGTAATTCTGGTGTTAGTTGTCTGATTACCTATATTTTGGATTTTGTCATAATCTAGCATGCATCATCAGAGAAAGTTCGCCCTTGGAACGGCAGCCATCATCAGTGGATGTTTCTTATGCCTTGTGTTCCTTTTTTGTACATATGGGGATGGAGTAGGTAATCTTTAGCCACCATTTAAGGGTTAAGTTCTAAAGGATTCTATCAGTAGGAATATTAACTGAATCATAAACTATTCATTATGCCTCCAACACTAGACTTATTTCATTACCTTAAAGAACTTGAAGAAGAGAGGCATACTTCTTGATAAGCTTGTTCTTAATGCCTCAAGATACTTAAGATTTTGCGAGAGTACAAGTTTATGGGCATTTGAGGTCCATAAAATGACAGCGTGTCCAAGAGTCCACCAATAATGTCTGGGTTGTCTGAGAGAATCACCACCATCACTGCTGCTAACTGCACCTATAACAATTTTTACTCACATTACAAAGAAAAGGGGAATAAAATAGTCATCAGATCTATGTGATGTTTTTTATATTTTCAGCAATACTGTGTTATGTTTTACAATTTATCTAATCAAAGGATCAAGACAATATTCAGATAGAGCTATCATGATTTCAGGAAATCCTTAAAATTATATAAGAATAAGTATTTTTTTTCCGTTTTGAAATTTGCTACATCATCTCCTGACTGGGAAAAGTAAAATAAAAAAATCCTACTTTTTCCAGTTATCAAAATAAGTAACAGACATACATTATCCTTACCTTTATCTTGGTTGAATACATTAATGTACTTAATTATTTATATTTCAACATTCTCTATACAGTACAGTAGTACATACCAAATTCTGTACACCCCAATGTTACTTTTCCATTCTTAACTTTCCCACGGTTGAATACATTACCACTTTTCTTACTTATGAGCGTTGCTCATAATTTTGACAAAGATCAACTATACTACTACTGTATTACTTCACCCTTATTAACCTTCCCTACTCTTATCTTTCCCCGGCTCACTCTCCTTCACAGTCGTGGATGCTCGGCTCCTCCGTGCCCCCGGGGCTGCAACACTCGCATGTTAGTAACAACTCGACTTTCATTTTTTTTAAAACCACTCCATTCACTGCAATTGTTCCCCAGAGCAAATCTACATTCATTCAAAGGCAAGTTGTTAATTGTGCCAAGCTGCTAAAAATAAGAATTCACATTGTGTAAAGATTATGGAAAACATGAACACTGTAGTTCCTTAAATAATCAATTACCATCTTATATCACTGTAAGATTGTACCATCGACGATATGTTTTCCCTTGTTGAGGTGGGGACTTGTCTATGGCAGCGCCCGGTTGCCAGTCACCAGCTAACGCTGTTAGAATAAAGTCTACAAAGAACGTGGTCTATGATTCAAACCTCCCACAATCACAAGAAACATTTAGGCATAAAACTTATAAATATGGAAGTACTATTGGTTATGAATACAATCATCATTTATCTTAAGTCAAAGTGGGGAGGGTGACCGTGACTTGATCTCCTTGACACGACGAGCAAGTTGAGATGAAAGAAATCCCATCCGTGACTTTGAGCCAGAACACCCATGTTAATAAGCCCTCAAACTGGCCACAAAAATTACACACTAAGGAATTAACATAACTGGAGATGCAGACTGATTCGCTGCCAGTAGCAAACTTTATGAAGTTAAACGATACAAATGTACGAACTCCATGGCTCAGTCTCATACCAACACAAACAGAAAAAGGAAATGTCTCAAGTACTGAAAGTGATTCCACAAATCTGGATGCCCTGTAGGAACAGTGTGAATAGAGCACACTGTACCGACACAAGGAGGCAGTGTGGCCACTATACTAAGAACCCTTTTACAGTTGGCTGGACTGAGAGTATGGTCCTGGGTTGAATCCAGTGACCCTTAAAAACAGGAGGCAAACACTGAACCCACTTGGCCACCTCACCCCTTAGTGAATGTATCAAAGAACGCCACCAAAAATTTGACCTAACAGAGAGCAGGCGCACTTGCATGCCTCTGCTACCTACATAACAGGTGTAGCATACATTTAAAGCTGTAGTGGTGTAATTTCACAGGGTTTCGTTTGGCATCGTCGAACATGTATTGATTATTATTTTTTATACACAGGGTACAGAAATTTGCTCGGAAGTTCATTTAATACACAGCTGCCACATATTACCAATGAACACACAAGATCAATTTTCCTCCTTTTATCCAAAAACAAATTGTTTAAATCATTTTGTCTAGAAAAAACAATTACTCATGCTAAATTAATAGGTCTGGTCATAATAGGTTAGATAATTTTTGTTATTTTTGCTTCCATTACTATTATTACAAAATGAACTGAATTAAACTTAACTGATCATAAACAATAAGTAAGAATGACATGACAAAATCTAGGTTGTGAATCTCCATTTCATTCTGTTGTGTAAAATCACTGTATCTCAAGCTTTTAACCCAAGGAGACAGACAGTGACCACATATATGCAAATTAAATCTTCCAAACTATAAAAACATTTTACAGTCACAAAAGATGTAATAAGTATTAAGGTAAATGTTAAATAAAGACATTGATACAAGGTGAAATACTCTCATCATTCTCACAGTAGCAGGATTCCAATATGATGGACAACCTTTTTAAATGTTCTAATGTTACAAAAATATCTGTAATAGTAACAAGTTCTCAGTTTGGATGACGTTTTTATATGTTCAGTTCTCATCAATCACAGAAAAGAAATATTCTCTTCCCTAAGTTTAATATTTCTGTATTAATATTTACACTTTCAAATAATCATCTACATCTGAGATACAACAATGTGTATTGTAGAGACAAACCTTTATACGAGGAGCTCCAGACCAGACCATACTCTGCTATATGAAGAGCTCCAGACCAGACCATACTCTGCTATATGAGGAGCTCCAGACCAGACCATGCTCTGCTATAGGAGGAGCTACAGACCATACTCTGCTATAGGAGGAGCTACAGACCATACTCTGCTATAGGAGGAGCTACAGACCATACTCTGCTATAGGAGGAGCTACAGACCATACTCTGCTATAGGAGGAGCTACAGACCATACTCTGCTAAAATGGAGGTAAATACTCAGGTAGGAATGATTGACATACAATAGCCTTTTTTAAAGGCCTCTCACCAACATGTACAGGTTCCCAATTGGCTCTTTGACTCACCCAAGGGACAGAGGAAAGGTTGGGAAATACACTAACACAAAACGTTTCAGCAATACTGTATATGGCTTTTAGCAGGTTATGGTCCGGAGCTCCCATAAAGAGATGAAAGTCAGTTACATTGAGGGTCCGTTAAGTGTGAAAACCTCCTAACGAGCTATATAGAGATGAAAGTCCGTTATATCAAGGGTCCGTTCGGTGTGAAACTCCCCCATCTAACAAAATATATATGGAGAGAAGTTCGTTACATGCATATTTCAATTTACATCGCAAGATCCATAAAAATTAATCGGCTGAAATTTTGGTGCAATTTATAATTACAAATGACTGAGGATGATTAAGATTAAGGCTATATTTTATTTATGATAAAATGAGTGGTTATTTGTGTGTGAAACTAAGATGTTTAAGAATGGAATCATTTGAATATCTAGTGAGGTAAATTTTAGCATCTCTTGGAAAATTTCTTCCTGGGAAGTTAAATAAATAAAAATAAAAAAAATATTGATCCCATCAAGATGTTCAGTACGGCAATGAGACAACTCTATTATTTGATGATAATGTGCCTTGTGTTATGGGATAAACTTGACGGCCTCAGTAAAACTTTAAATTGGAGTTATCACACAGACAATGTGTATACAGCACACGAGGCATTGCTCTCAACTACCTTCACTTCAATTATAGTTGGGTACCCATTTACAGCTGGGTATGGATTGGGAATGCCCAGGATTGAACAACCGAACCTTATAACAGGAGGTGAACATTGCATCCACTCAGTCAGTCACTGCCTCTCATGAACCATGAAAAACAAATTGTGTGATTGGTGTTTATCTGTCAGACGGAAGATGATTATTGCTTAACGTTGTTTCGGTACTAGGTTGCTAATCTTTAGATATCAAGGGTTCATTTACGTCCTGAAGACTCGATAAAACGTTGTTTTGCGTCATCACTGACTTCTTTTACGGCACATCACCCTCTCTTGCCTGGCCACACTACGCTCATCCTAGGCAGCCGCAGGAGACTCACCGCCCATACTCCTCTCACTCCCGCCCACTCCACCACTGCACCCACAACACACTCGCTCTACCTCCCTTATCGGTGAATACCAATATAAACTTAGCCCTTACTGTAGTTGTATATGTTTGGTTATTTTCTATAGAAAATGGCAATGATTTTCTGTATATTTAATATATTTCATGGGGCAAGGGAGGCTCCAGGAACAGGAGCTTCCCGTATTTATCTATTTCTTATGGGGATAAATGATACAGCAACGTTGTTTCTTATAAAGTCGCATTTTTAGGAACGTAACCCCGACATTAAGCGAGGACATACTGTACAGACAAACAGATTAATAAATATACAAGTTGTTACTTTAACCAAGAATACAGGTCATGAAAATAATATACTTCTGCTGTGCAACTAAACACTCTGGTAAGTGCTAATTAGATTATATAATATTATTGTGTATTCTCACCGAATTTATTCATTCTTATATCTTTTGTCGGAACGAATTTATATACAGTACAAAGCCATGTTCACTCATCAATCAGCTATGTATTGTACAAATTGTTTGTTTATCATAGTTGGATCTACTGTACGAGTCCTGGACAATAAACCACATACAGTACAGGTGTAATCAAATATCAACTGTTCATATATTTTTCCCAAGCAGTGACATGAACCAGAACTTATATTATAATATGTTTAACCTACCTTCAACACACACAAGATTTCCAAGTGCTGTAATGTGCATACTTTATATACCACTATTATGTATATTTTACATGGTTTGCCAATACAGAAAGGGGAACCCAATCATGTATTTTGAGAGAGACCAAAAAATCATTCATAGAAAATTTTGGATAAATTTCCTGAGCCGAGTAAATATTACCTTCTGCTATAATTTTTGTTTTGTTTTAATTCATCTTTATTTACATAATGGACGAGATCCCAGTATTTGCAGGCATATACGACGCATTTTTTTTTTAATATCCCAAATTACCCTGCGTCTAATGCGCCCGTATTACGGATGGGAGGCCGAGTGCCGTAAGCGGAGGTGCCTAGCTAGGTAGTCTGGGACGAGCAGTAGTCCACTAAGCAAAAAAAAAGTGTACTAATAATATCACTCATAATAAAATACTGAAAAACAAACCAAATTATCACAAATACAAACTTACAGCTAACATTGGCTTAACGGCAGAGGGAAGCTCACATATCTCTCACTGTACCTCCTTCTGTATACGTAACCCACACCAGATACATGTCTTATATTATTTAAGGACTAATACTTTTAAGAAACATTTGTTTATTATGTAAATGAACAATGCCCCTAGAAATATTCAAGAAATGTTAACAAAGTTTAGCCGCCAGTCAACCCATTGCAAGAGTCGATGGCGCCAAAACATGGCAATAGTGCTACACCCAGGTGGCCGATCGCGTAACACATCACAGCAAAATACGAGAGTTTCACATCCTGTCGGTAATATTTGACCAAATTATAAACAAGCCACACAGCTGCTCTGATCAGAGGTAGATTTGGGTTGTACAGTATAATGTTACTATTCAATAAAGTCTCCGCTAACAAAGGTTTGACCAACAACTTTTCATATTTAAGACCCAAGTTAATTTAGGACCCAATTCAATTTACGTCCTTATTTCATTCGTATTTACGACCAAAATAAAATAAAATTACATTTTCATATAAATAATAACAAAATCCCGATATTTATTATAAAAAAATTACTGTAAAAAAAAACGAAGAGCACCTAGGCAAAGAAGCTGCCTTGCTAATGAGTAGTAAACAAAAGTCAGAGCTTGGCGGGCCTTTTGTTTTCACGAATCTGGAACAGGAACTGGAGAAAAGGGTTCTCCGGTTTCTTGCAGCATTTTTGCATCCCTATTCAACATGAGCAAGAGAGCAAATGATGGTGTCTTGTTTATAAAGCTAATAGAAAGTGTATACGCTTAGTCGAGAAACTAAATGTGTTAAATTGATATGAAAAAGGTGAGAGGTCTGTGGATATTATATGAAGCAAGCAATGAACATATTTTCTGAAGTGGATAAATTAACAGATTAAAATCATTAAAACTTAAATAAATGCAAATGACCTCTACATAAAGATGTATATGAGAAAGAAAGCAGCTGTGCAAGGTTCTTTTGAAAGCTTTATTATTCGAAGGCCTAAACTATCAACCCTTAGCTTTCCACCATCAAATTCAGCATCATAAGCAGCTTTCGCATCAGCACAGGTTCAGTAACAGTTTCAGCAACAGCTTTATGGAAAGCGACAGCTTCAGCCAGAGTTGATCCTACAACTTCGGCCAAGAGTTGATCCTGATGACTTCGTCATCGGTAAAAACTCGCACAATATTCGTGGCTGTCCTTATGTTTTAGACTTTGCACCACCATTGGTGAGTAGAACTTTTGTTTTACATTCGTAAATATTATTTAAAACATATATGAACAAGTAAATAACTGTTGCTTTCATATTCATATAGAGAAATGACGAGAAGTTTTCACATGTAGCACTGTTCATACGTTGGCGTCCCCAATCGTCTCCTTTATTTCTTTGCACCATTAGTGGTTAGCTTCTTCTCTTGTTCCATTTATTAACATTAAATATAGCATTGCTTAAAACATACCCTGGTATTCAAATTTCTTAAGAATTAAGTTCACTACAGCTACAACCAGGGTCTTATTTCTTCAGTTTCTTATGTAGAACCATCGTCACTCTCGAAAACAATGCCGTCTTGTCTCGTGTGTGTTTTAATATTCTGCTTATTATTGATGAATTGCAATTTCATTTCACATATATAAACATTAATTCAATCAAATACATAATCGGTAATAAACAATAATGAATCTTTTTACGTATTCTTAAGATAAATGACTATGTTTCCTTGAATGCGCACGTATACATTGGCGTTCCACTATCAGTCTCACTCTTTCTTTAATATCAGTGCTTGCTTCTACTGTACATTAAATAACATTATTTACAAAACATACATATTTTTTACATTAATTTAACTACAATAACAACCAGGGTCTTTATTTTCTTCGTTTCTCATGCCAGAACTATCGTCCCGGACTCCCAGCTGTAAACACAAACAAAACAAAAGGCTTCCCCTCTCCTCTTGTGACCATATTAGCATTCATTTATATTGTATAAGGTGCAGTGAAACATTATTTAAAGAATATAGTTTGCAATTTTCATTAATTGTATTGTTTTGGGGGAAAAGAAGGTAAAAGCCACACAAAAGATATGAAAAGGTCACACTTGGGAACGCATCTCATTATGATTGCTTTATTTTAATGGTAATATGATTAACTACATGATTCCAGTATATATTGCATTTACAAGCACAAAATCAAATGTTTTCCCCTACAAAACCACTTTAAAATCACTTTCAATAATTGTATGACGATATTTACTAAAAAAAAAATTACAAAATATCCTTGTAAAATAGGGGTGCGTCTTTATGCCGGCAAATACAGTATATAAATTAGAAAAATCCAGGCACCAGTCGAAGTTTCCAAAGGCCAAGACTAAACTGAGAATCATGTTACATACAAGAGTTGGCTCTTCCCTTCAACAAAATTCACTCCCTGTCTTAAAACAGTACAAGAACAGGTATGAAAAGATTTCTCACAAGTTATGTGATAGCACACTGTACTTAGACTGAGAGTTTATGTTCCCAGATACACCAGGCACAGATGCAAAGCTAGTACCGATTAAACCCATATAGAAGTGGTGCAAATGACAACACAGAAGCTGGTGCAAGAAGGAAACGAAGACCAAGAAATACAAAACAAGTTATCTAAGTGAAGTGGTGAGATTAAGAAATGTAATTAATGTGAAAAGATTACTTATAAACTGTATACAGTACAGTCACTTTATAAGTTCATGTAATAGTGCTACCATAAACAAGTTTGACAACTGAACTTCAGTGAACTATTATGAAGCATTATAGTCAATGCTGAGGTTAAGGTTAATGATGTGTTTCACCTGCATGATATTTCTTCCTTTCATCCATCCTAAAATTTGGAAAAATATGGGTAGATCAACCAAGATATTATTTAGTCAAGTTGACTTGTTAGCAAATACAGGTAACCCCTGAGTTACCATGTAGTCACACTTTTAACACTATCCCCGAGTTACAAACGGTCACACCTGGTTTAACGATCACTCCTACGATCAACCGCCTCCACTCGCCAAGCCTTCTGCCGCGCTATGATGAGTAACTATCTTGTCACAAATCTCAAAGTGATCGACACGCCAACTCTAGGCTCCAGCCGTAACTATTTCTTGTCTACATTAAAATTCCTCTGATCTGCCATGTTAGTGTTCCTTACTGTGACTGCTGTTGCATCTTATGTACATTTGCAGTCAACGCAATTGTAAAGTGTTTACTTATTAGAGTGCAAAACATTGTGGTGATGGTGTTTGTCTTATTTACAGTAATGTACTGTACATTATTATCAAGTGAAAGACTTGATAATCAAACTGCAGTGGAGCCCTTGTACAGTACAGGGACAGCATACTCAAAACACCTCATCAGTTACCTACAGTAGCAGTGATACAGTCCCATAATTTCCAGACTTTCTTACAGTCCCGTAAATTTCCCATACTCAAAATTGATTTACACCCAGGATCTGTAAGCAGTCTGTAACTTTGGTGTTTGCCCTATAAATTCAGTTCTCCTGTCCGAAGGTAGATGGTGTTGCAAGAGCATGTTGGCCAATCGTCGCTCAGTTAACAAAATCATCAACCCATCACAAGAGAAGGAGAAATCAGCTGATATCGACGCATGTGATAGTTGCTAGACGTACATACTTCAAGGTCATTAGTGAAGAGTAATACTCGAGGACAATGGCCAACCAATGACCAAAATACGGTAAATGCCATCATATACGTGGCAAGCGGCGGGGCAAGGTGCTGGGCGCTGACGTCATCGCTGACGTCAGACTCGCGCTCATGACGTCATCGCTGACGTCAGACTCGCGCTTATGACGTCGCGGATTGTGATTGGGCCACGTATCCTTACCACCTACGCACCCCCTCCGCCGCGCGCTGTGATTGATCTATAACTTTGCCACCGCTCCCACCCGTGCTCTCGACCACAGCTGCGCCAGTCTCACTGTCCCGCGTATATTCACTAGTGCCGAGGAACCGGTTTTGTTTTTTCTTTCTACACAATGGCTTCCACTGGACCTCCACCACCCCCGAGAGGCCCTGAACTACCTGGCCCAAGCAGGTGCAACGCGCCTAAGCTAAGAGGTAAAGTACAAGATCGTCCAGGAGTTAGAAAAAGGCAAGAGACAAGTGGATCTGGCCAGACAATATGGAGTGAATGAATCGACGATCCGCACTATCAAGAAGGATGCCGGCAAAATATATGAACACATGAACATTACCACGTCTGTAGGTGCCTCGCTGGTGAAATATTGCCACAATAAGGTGCTGCTGAAGACCGAGAGTTTGTTGGTAAGCTACATTATTCGTCAGTCAAGAAGGAACATGGCGGTCGACATTCGGGCACTGCAGGACTACGCCCGAGAATTCTATGCAGCACTAGCAAAAAAAATGGGGGTTGCAGAGCCCAAGCCCATCAGTGCTTCCGCTGGGTGGCTGCAAGGTTTTAAACGACGCAGCAAGATCACGAATATTGAGATCGTCGGAGAAGGAGCAAGTGCCGACCGGGCTGCCGCCAGGAATTTTCCCCCATTTTTACGGAAAATTATGGAGGAAGGACAGTACACCGACGACCAAGTGTTCAATATGGATGAATCAGGGTTGTACTGGAAGAAATTGCCATCCAAGACCTTCTTAGTCATGTCTGCTAGCAAGTGCCGGGGACGCAAAATGCAGAAGGAACGCATCACCGTACTGTTCACCACCAATGCCTCCGGCACTGCTAAGCTGAAGTTGTCTGTGATCCACAAAGCCCGCAAGCCGCATGCCTACAAGAATATGGACATGAGCAAGTTAAATGTCCACTGGCTAACCTCAGGGAAGGCGTGGATGTTCTCTGGTCTGTCCCTCTCCTGGTTTGACAACTGTCTCGTTCCTGATATCAAGAAATTCTGCGTGGAAAATAATGTGCCATTCAACATTTTGTTTCTCTTCCACAACGCACCAGGACACTCGCCCCTATTGCTGGATCGTCACCCCAAAGTAAAAGTGGTCTTCCTTCCCGCTAACACTACGTCGTTAATGTAGCCCATGGATCAGGAGTTGATTTGCAACGTGAAGGCTGCTTTCTCCGCCAAGGATGAACTGCAGAACCTAGAGTGGCACCGATAGTGAGAGCGAGGAACACGAAAAAGATTTGGCGGACCATGAAATGAGGGTCAAGCAGTTCTGGAAGCTGTTTAACGTGAAGAAGGCTGTTGATTTCTTGTTGGAGGGTATCCCAGGTGGGAGGCAGAGGCAAGCAGTGGCTGGCGAGGCTCAGTCTGTTGCTGTGGCATTGGAGAATGCAACAGGGGCTGCACAAGTATTACAGCTGCAGGCTTCTCCGAGACAACCAACGACGACATCCTGGAGGTAATCAGTCAACCTGAGGTAACTGCGGACGAGATGTTGCAAGATGATGAAGTCAGTGAGCAGCGAGGTGTTACAGAAGAACAAGAGCAGAAACTAACATGCTGATGTGAAGGAAATCATCGAGTTAGCGGAGAGATTGAAGCTCCTCCTTGCCAAGGGTCGAATAATGCCAGGAGCTCTATGTTCAGCTGTATCACGACCACATCGATGCTAGCCGTCAACAAAACATCACTGAGTTCATCACCTGTCAGCCAGCCCAGCCTGTGGTGGATATAGATACAGGAGAGGGCCAATAATCTGTCCTCTGCCTCAGAATCAACCCCCCCCCATCCCCGTGTGCCCAGCCATCTCTTTTACTAACGTAAGTGTTAAAAAACCTAATATTATTGATATTTCTCTTGTATATTAATTGTGTGCATACCATCATAAAATTAAGATGTTATTTTTACTACAATGTACGTATTGTGTCGGCGATAGCCAAAAAAGGGTAGTCTGGCGGTCGGCCCAGTCTCTATTTCAATTAATCCCATAGGTTTTTATTTTGTTTACGCGTTTCGCTTTATACGGAGACTTCCATGGGTTTAATATTTAATACCGCGTAAAACCAGAGAGAGAGAGAGAGAGAGAGAGAGAGAGAGAGAGAGAGAGGGGATAAAATAAAAATTCTTAGAAAATTTATTTTTTCATAGGCTTTTGATTTAATACAAGCAGTAGTCATGCACTTTTTTGCTGCAGTATTAATGAAATGTACCTTACCAAACCTAACTTGACCCAATCTTTATCTACCTTAACCTAACTTTACTAAACCCAATCCTTATGTACCTTAATCTAATTTCACTTAACCTAATCTTTACCTAACCTAAACAAACCTTTACCTTACAAGTAATTATTCATGACTAACCCGCGGCCAAAATTTATCGAAAACAAATACTGTATATAAATGCTGGATTTTCACTGCTTTTATAGTAGACACTGTTGTAGTTTGTGCAAATGTGTTACAAAAATGGATATTTATGAAATAAGCTTAACGTAACAATTGTCGGTATGAAAAAGACATAACCAACCGAACCTTACCTAACTTTATAACCGGGGAGATCTACCCCCTTCCAATATTTTAAACAAAAAGAACTTACTATGATATGGTGACATTTGAGGCATTTTCTTAACGTGAATTGATAAGACCGCATCGGCGTTTATGCAGCCGGGGCGCTGGAGTGATTTATTGTGATGGCGGGAAAAGTCGGGCATTGAGGGAAAAGTCGGGCATTGAGGAAGTGATGAACTAATTTTTTTCAGGTCTGAAAGCACAGGGATTTCCGCAGTGTGAACGGTCTCTATTTAAAGGGACAATGCCGTTGCCTTTGAACAATTGAAGGGTCTCGTTGTCTTTGATGGTTACAAGTGTTCCCCGAAGAATGCAGTGATGGGTAGGGAAACACCGGGTAACACTGAAGTCCGTTTATTATGGATGAGAGAAATACAAGTGGTGACTCGCGTGTGCCATGCACGGCTCACACAGTCAGACTGAGACTGCCTTGCCATATGGCAGTAGGGTGTCATACGGAGGCGAATTTTTTTTTTTAGTTTGAAAAATCGGCCCATGGTATTTATGATGTAGTTCTATGTGCAGAATCACGTGATATCTTCAGATTTGAAAAGTTTTCATTTTTTGCAAAGTAAATTTTAACTTGAAATCTTATGAAAATTCAGTATTCCCACCCTTTTACCAACACCACTAAATAGCTTATTTAAAGTAAAGTAAATGTATCAGGTTAATTTATTAGGATGAAAATGATCCAGAATAGTGAAACGAATGATCTTGACACATTTATTAAATTTAATATTCCTTTAGAAAACAAAATCATCAAATACAAAAACCGGTTTTACTACTACGACCTGGTGTTGCTGCACACCATAGAGAACATGTCTTTCTTGCTTCTGTTTCTACTCATCACCTCCCTGCTGACCACCTGAGCTCGGATGTAGCCTTCCCTCCTCTCCTGGCTGTACACGTGACTGCTGGCCTCGCTCACTTGCTGTACACAACGCTCTATACTCTGGGTGTGCAGGCAGGGACATGCATGGGGTTGTCCAGGAAAGCTCTGACTTGAACATTGGTGAGGCTGCAGGTAAGAGGGGGCTCACTGCCAGCCTGGATGTTATCCAGATCTATGAGATCAGTGAGGGTCTTGGCACCTAGATTGACTTCAGGAGTCTTCCTGACCCTGAAGGAATCGTCACCAACTGATTCGTCATACCCAGATCCTCTCATAAGTCTCATATCCAAGATCTTTTTGACTGCCACTCTTCTCTCCTCCTCATCCTTACTGCAGAGCATTGTCTGCAGAACTGCCTCGGGATGAGCATACCAGGATGATCTCCTCACAGTCTGCTCCACAATCTGAACAACCTTCCTTGGCTGACTCCTCAGGAGCTCAAGCTGGAAGAGACCATGCCTCCGACCTTCGGAGAACGCTGACTTGACCTTGGTGTTGAACCAATTTGGCAAGTAGACACTCACGATGAATTGGACAATAAGTCTCAGGTTGTGAAGCTGGTACCCTTTCAGTTTATGATGAGCGACCCAAATTCTGCAGAACCTGAGAGCCGTTGTGAGCCACCTAGAATGTGAGACTGGACCTATCTGCAGGTAAGCAAGTCTATCAGGCATGACCCCAGTTTTGATGGCACTGCAAATCATGTAACCATAGTACTGGACAGTACTCAGGTCGTCAATGACAGTATGTGCAAGCTCAACGAGTGGAGGGCCAACTGTGATTTTATCAAAGCTCGGATTTATTTCTAACTCAGTGGCAGAGTACAGCATCTTGCCAAGAGGACCAGACCATCTGTTGTTTGAAAGAGTCTTGCCATCCAGCTCCTGGGTCAGATGTCTGAGTGGCAACTCGTTGTCTGGTCTACGTTCCTCTCTCTGAGCCAGTTCACAATGTTATCTGCCACTATCTCAGCTGGTTTCCTGATGTCATCTTTCTCTGGAGTGAAATGCCACAAATACTTCCCTCCTGGTTCACTGCAGCAGGAGTAGTGTTCCTCCTTCACCATGGCAGGGAATATCTTGTCAGAATCTCCAACTTTCATGAACACTTTAGTGTCATCCCTTCTCCCATCAAAGAACAAACAATTGATTCCATTTTCTCTTATCCCCTTATCAAACTCCTCTTCTAGGTTACTGACAAGTTTCTCCTGAGCTCTCCTTACTTTGTTATGATCTATCACCAGGTGAACATCATCAGGTGTTATCAAACCACCGTCAACCCAGGCAGCTGTTGCTATCTCTGCAGTTTCTCTGAGACCACTGTGGTGTCGCATGCTGGCCAGAGCTATGCTCGGGATATCTTTCCTATTTCGAATCTTATGCCTGGAAGGTTTGGGATCATTATTTTCTGGGTTAGGGACAAAGTCACCATTCTCCTGGTCAGCACTCGGATCAGCCATGGGGAAGTCATTAAACTCTGAATCAGCTTGACTCCAATCATCGGCCTTTACCTCACCCTGGGCCTTCTCAAGTCTCTTTTCCTCGGCAACTCTTCTCCTCTTCTGTCTCTCTGTGGCAGCCTCCTGTCTCTTGGACTCCTGAATATCTTGGCTAGAAATCATGAGAGCCCCTATACTGCCAGTCTTCTCTCTCTGTGCTTTGACAAATGCCAGTTCGATCACAGGAATCTTCAGTTCACGCTTGCAAATACAGGAGATGTGGGTCTCGGATTTACAATCACGATCGCATCCAAACTCAGGACAGAGAACAATTGGGCACTTGCAAGTAATTATGTCAAATAACTGGTCCAGTTGCTTGGCAAAGCTGTCCTTAACTGCAAGTTTTCCTCTCCCAAGAGAGATATCTCTTGCCTTTTCCCAACTGGCTAGCAATCTCTCACTAATCTTCTTCTGACTTGTTATGACTGGAGGCTTGAACTGAGCGTTAGCCAGAGTGTACTGTGCCAAGACAGCTTTGGTCATATCACTGGCAATGTCTTTGTTTGTGTAAGTTCTTTGGTTATTTTCACTGATTGCCTGATTAAAACACCGTATCTCAAAGCATCTCTCAATGTAGGCAACTCCGACTTCAGGAGCTCTCTCCCAGACCCAAGATAGTGACTGAGATGGCTGGATTTTTGGTTCCTCGTCCTGACACAAGCAGCCATCGCAAATATTATCAACTTATAAATGCATCAGAATCTGAAACAGAAAAAAATATTGTTAGTGGGTTGTTAAAGAATGAAGTCAGAAAGCAATGTTCACTATTTAATTGTAATGCACTAATGCAGCTGTACGTTAGATTTTCGATAAATTTCACGCTAAAATTTACCTAGCAAAAGGTTGCAAAATATTGAAACTGAAATTATTTTCTGTTTTTATACACTAAAATCTACCAAAAAAGTGATGGGCCATTAGTTTCAGCTGATCTTCCCTCCTATGACACGCCCTAATGCTCCAGGCTTTAAGGCTGCGAAGGACCGCATGATAGTGTTGTTGGGTGCAAATGCTAGTGGAGACTTAAAGCTTAAGCCTGTGCTGGTGTATCATTCTGTCTACCCGCAAGCTTTAAAGGGTTTCATAAAGTCTACTCTAGGAGTTCACTTTAGGTCTAGCAAAAACTGTTGGATGACGGGACAAATTTTTTCTGACCTTGCGGATTTTTTTCAAAATGCTTTTAAAAGTTGTTACAAGAAGAAGAATATAGATTTTAAGATTCTCCTCATTTTAGATAATGCGCCAAGCCACCATTGATGAGCTTTCTGACAATATCAAAGTGCTCTTTCTACCTCCAAATACAACATCTCTCCTTCAACCAATGGACCAAGGAGTAATAGCAGCCTTCAAAGCGTATTATTTGAGGCATACATTTAAGAAACTCATTGCAGCTACTGAGGAAGGAGATGATAAGGCCAGTGTTCCTCAGCAGCTACTGAGGAAGGAGATAAGGCCAGTGTTCTTCAGCAGCTACTGAGGAAGGAGATGATAAGGCCAGTGTTCTTCAGTTTCAACATCAAGCATGCAATTGACATCATTGTGGAGGCCTCGGGTGATGTAAGTAAGGACTGCTTCAGTGGAGTTTGGCGGAAGCTTCTCCCAGATTTAATTCATGATTTTACAGGCTTTGATGCATCAGAGGAGCACCCCAAAATAAAAGAAAATTTTGTTTCTCTTGCAAAGTAAGTTGGCTTTGCTGAAGTGAAAAGTGCTGATGTTGAAGAACTGTTGGAGTCCCACTGTGAAGACCTCTCTACAGAAGATCTACAACAACTTGTTGCTGCTGGGGAAATAGAAGATGCCGAAGATGAAGAAGTGCAGGATGCAAAACCACGAGAGCTTCCCACTTCTCTTTTGACTTCTATCCTGAGGGAAGTGGATAAGCAGTTGCAGCTCTTGGAATGACTACAATGCAGATCGGAGCAGGATTGCAGTTCGTGGTGTTAAATCTTTTTGGCACCTTATGAACAGCTTCTTTGTGATAGAAGAAAGACGGCAAAGCAGCAAACATTAGACGTCTTTTTTAAGTCAACCCCCAAGAAGCAGTCTGAAGACACTGAACCACAGCCATCCACTTCTGGAATTGGACGTTTATTTCGTCCCTCCCATGCAACCAAAACTGCACCTGATGATGATGATGATGATACTGATGATGACAACTCTCAACTCCTGTCTGCATGGCTCCTCAGCATCACCCTTCTCCATCAAGTTATATTCATATTTTTTCAAGGTAAAGTATAACATTTATTGTATGATTTCATTATTAGATATGAATGTAAAATTTATTCAGACTGTGCTATCATTTGTGTTAGGCTAACTACTAATTTTTTTTCGATTTCGAGTCATCTGCACCTAACCTTATTTTCTCCATAAGCCCTGTTATTTCTATTGCGCGAATTTCTACAACGCGATGTTTTACAAGAACACAACTATCGAGTTATAGCAGAACCGACTGTATCTGTTTTGAGTATACCGATTGGAGACTAAGTCCAGTTACGGGGTAAACAAAGAGATACAGTCCCGTAAATGCTTTTGAGTATGCGGCCACAGTACAGTTATTGTGTGACTGGCAATGACTGCCCTGTGTTTATCAATCAGTGATGGACCTTGTGGTGCTGTTTTGGGTTGGCTACATAGGTGAAAAAGTACACCTTTATGATCTCCAAAAATATAATTGTTGAACCTGTTAAAATGCCTTCAATATACAGTACTACAATCATTCGCCTAATATTTTTTTTTTAAAAACCATAATGCAACTGTACCTCAGGGATCACCTGTAATACAAGCTGCATTATATTATACTACTAATAATGCTAACAGCTGATCAGAATATTAATTAAGCTTTGATATATACAAAAGCTTAAATATACATGCAATATGAATAATGAAAAAGTTGTGTTTTAATGTTATTAGAAGCATATGCATTATCTACATACAGTTTCTGGTATGTGAAAACTCACCCCCATCTGTATTTTCTTTGACAGCAATCATGACAGCAGAGCCACCATGACCAGCCCAATGTACTCCCCTACGAGGCAAAGCCCGCTTGAGGTGACCCTGGTCATCTGGAACAGGTTGACCTTCTTTTGAGCTCGTAGAATCACTGAGGTCATTCTCTGTTGACAGTATATGACAACCAAAAATAAGACTGACATCGTGAAATCCACCTCACTCTACCTTACACTATAGTCTTTTTTTTATTATACAAGCCCCGCCTCCCTTGTAGCTCATCGGCTCGTACATAATGTTCAATTAATATGGATATATTGCAAATAAAATCAAAGTAACTGAACTGTTAACAAGTGTTAAGGATACCTAGCTCTGGCTCACTTTAATGTGCAGTATGTAAAACTATAACTGTTTGAAAACTTTAACTTTCAAGATATGAGGGCAAAGCTTCTGAGACTAGCACCGTCTACAACTATACTTCCAAATTACAATGTGTAGTATATTGTTGCTCGTGTCAACTGCTCATGTACGATTACACATACTGTATTAGGTTCAAAACAAACTTCCAAAAAACATGACACCTCAAAATTAATGTACTGTACATACACTTCCTTACAGATTTTTGTGGATATCACTTGACTGCTTGTATTAAAACAGCAACATTGTCCTCACTTGTGGGAGACCTCATACATTAAAGAGGGAGGACAATGCTGCTCTTTTAATACAAACCATCCCATGATCTTAACAACAATCTGTCTGTGTGTATTTTTCACACACCTTGTAAACCCTCTGAATGGCACTTCTCAATAAATTAATGAATGCAGTAAATCTTCTCAATAGTGAACATCTCCTCAGTAGATAATCTCAATAACAGAATCCTCCCAATAATGGACAGGGCTTGCAAGAATTGGTCTGGCATTGGGAGGGGTTTACTGTAACTACATTTCAGCTTGAAAAACACTCATGTAAACTAACATAATCTACACAACACAGGGCAAGAGTAGTGGTGTGTCCCTGTACTGTACTGTACTCTATGGTTGTAAGGGCGGAAACGATCTTCCTGCTCGTTACCGCTGCACCCTCGCTAGTTTGCTGGTGCGACCCCCACTTGGTGGGGGGGGGGGGTGGAGAGAGGTGTAAATGGCGCTGTTCCCTGTGTCAGCGGCGGCAGATTCACCCCAGCTGTCATTACAGTCACTACCTCCCACGCTGCTCTTCCAAATTCTGGCTGTGATCTCATCAAGGCTCAGGGGCTGTGTCCCCAGACCTTCACCTATCGACTGTCAATTCGCTGGACATCTACCACTACCCCATACCACGACCGTCAGTTCATCTCCTCCGTCTTTGCCCCGGTGTTCTCCTGATATCAAGACAACGGCCGGTGTCGCTCGAGTGAGGACCATCCCCCTGAGAGTGGATCACTGCGTTCCAGAACCTTCCCCAGGGCCACTGCCGTAGGAAATATCTGTTCATTGTTTGATTCTATCAGTTGTTGACTCCCATTAATTGTTTGATTCCATTAATTGTTATTTGATGTTTGTTGAGTGGTGTCAGTTTTGGGTTATATTTTTTATAGTAAAGAGATGTCAATCTCAAACGGTTGTTTGTTATTCCTCAGAAAACCATGGTCCTTGACTTTCCTTTTACAAGATCTTGATTAGGCTGGTAAGGGATTTCTATCCCTAAGCCCCAGGCCTTTACAATGGTGTTTGATGAGGCCAGGTGAGAGTCTTGAACTGTACAGTTATTTCAAATTACTTTACTTGAACCTTTTATTATTCTTGGTTCAACAATATAAGTATATACCTTTTAAATCGTTACTATAACTTTAACTCCCACTCATGACACACACACACACACACGAGCCTAGCTCAAAATATGTTTGTTACCTTCATTATAAGAAGCATCCTGAGACTGTTGAGCCAGCACATAGTTCCTCACACAGCGCCATATTAACAGCATGAAGTGTACAGTGCTGTTGATATCTACCTTAATGCTGGCATAACGGTAAAATCGACGAGCTGCAGCGCGATTTTCCTCTAACAGCGACAGACACCGTTGCAAAATTTCCTGCAATTTACCATTAAATTGAAGATGTGAAGTTTGATTGGTCATTTTATGGCTATACATAACCTAACCTCTTAAGGATTCTCTATTACTGAATGCTGTTAACATGACCACACCTCTTCTCTATAAACTAATGCTCAAATTACAACCAGGTTATAAAATGACATCGACAGTGTACAACAATCTGAATCTTGAAAAAAATTTTCCCTACAATTAATAAATGGCAAAGTTATTAAACTAATGACAAACAGACATACTTGTATCCAGACTCACTCCCAGGTAGTTAACTTGTATAACACACATACATACAGCAACACTTTCTAACTAACTAAAGGCAATATTCAACATGCAGCAATGTTGATCATTCATCACCATCAATATTTTACTGGTAATTCACATCCTTGCATGTGTCAGCTGTGATTACCTGATGGCAGCTCTCCAGGTTGCCCAATCTCTTAGGCCCGAATTCAGAACGATACTTTGAGCCTGGGATTTGAACTCGGCTCAGGCGTGCGAATCAGGATTCCTCGAGCCGAGATTTCCTGCAGTGGATTACCCATATTCAGAACATCGGCTTCAACCCCAGATCAGGTAATCTGTTGCATTTTCTTCAGCTACGAGCAAGGATTCGAACACTGAAATTCCAGCCAATAACATTTCATCTACAGCATTACAACAGCCAATCACCATCGAGAGTAATATTTACAAAATTACGGCGGCAACTATGGCTTGAGTTGTTACGGAGGAGGAGAAATCTTTCCTCGTATTACTTTTATTACTATAATTATAATCAGATTATGATAAAATTTTAATGATTTATGGTACTGTACTGTGTTATATGATAAAGAAATTCATAGAGGAAGAACAATTACATACAAAATGTAGATATAATCCGGGACAGGTGTCAATATTCATCACCAAACCAAGATGAATCAATGCAGGGCGTAGTAACCTGGCTAGGACCTGTTAGGTTAGGTTTCTTTCTGTTCTTTTAACCCCCTATTTCCTCTGATTAGTAATGTTAAAAAAGACTTTCCTTTATTACAACATTAAAATCAAAATACACTCCGCATTGATTCAATTATATTGAAAATACATCAAAATAGTTTTCCTAAAGAAAACAAAAAAAATAAAGTGCGTCAGCGTTCTTTACATTTACAGACTTGATCTTCAGGGACCCTAAACACGAAAGCGTTGTAACACATTACCATAACTCATTCAGTAACCAGAATCTTTCTTACCCAGAAACTATTCGTTGCGAAGAATCTCAAAGCAATCATCAGTTGATGAATGGGAGGTAGAGGTGAACCATTGCCAACAGGTCTGTAGATGCTTCATATCACAGAAAATATCAAGGAAATCTCCCTTGCTGAACCTATATCGTTGTTTAAATTGCGTGTCATCATAAAAATTTATAGGATTCTGCCTATCTACCATCAGTCTTCTCTCTACAAAATTTTCAATTTGATGGTATTGCCGAAAACCGCTCTGGCAAAATTCATGTTGACCTGCTTGAAGGATCGACCGCCTCCAGGCTGGATTAATGCGAGGATCGACAATTCGGATCTTAAACCCTGTTTGAATCTTTGTGTTGGCTCAAGCCAGCGTTCTGAATACCAACAATCTTCAATCTTCGCTCGATTCTTGGTTTAAACCTTCATGCGGTTTCAAATCACTGTTCTGAATTCGGGCCTTAGGGTGTAATCATACAAGGGTACAGTATGTTTTGTAGCCAACACATATCAACGAGAAGTAACGGCGGTCTAGTGCACGCGGAGGCACTATCAGTCGGAACCACGTGCCTCATTTCGTCTTGTCGATCACACGTTGTCAACTAAATGTACGCTCATGTGGACACACTCTTACGACCTCAGTCACCAGGTGGTTAT